GAACTGGTTGAGGTTTAAGCTCTTACTCTCAATGCCAGTAGTTCTTTCACAATTGTGGGTTTGAGATTGCCTCATAGATCCATGCTCTCAGAATACCAGAGAGGCAGGGTGTCAGCTCATTTGATTCAGATGGTAAGACTGAGTTTTGGAGTCAGAGCAGTGATCACAATCATCTGTCATAATATGGTCTCTATGGCAACAGTGCCACTGCTGAGGTTGATACTATGAGTGTAATAGATTCTGCTGACTCAGCCAGTAGTCTTGCTGATGCATCTTCTTGTCTAGTGCCAGTGAATAAGCCACTTGAAAATAATGGCAATGACTTAGAATACTTATAGAAAGAGTTTTAGCTATCTTAGCTATGTTGGCTTCTTATAGTCAATAGCAGCTGGTGCAGTATTTGAAACAGTGATGTGTAGGGATCTGCCACTTCAGAGTGCTGTCTCTCTTTTTTAGCTTTGATAGTCTCTTATATGTGCATATATACTTACATCTCATCAATAAACTGTTAATTGGATGAGGCTATACTAATGTATCTTTCTTCTTTCTCCAAGACTATCCACTATGCATCAGCCATCTGAGTATACCTCATCTGCTAATAGTGTACTCTCAGATTCTCCAGCCACTTCTTGTCACTACTCTGTGACATATTCATAAACTTTGTCCTCAGTCAAAAGTCTTTAGACTGGAGCATGAGAAGTCTTAAGCTAAATGTCAGATAACAACTAAAGAATTACAAATGCCTAAGCACTGCAACTGCCAGGGTCTGACACTAACTGATGATAAAGTAAGATAATGAGAATAATAGAGGTGAGATAGAGAGATCAGTAGAGTATGTCTGTCAGTGTGAAAGATAACAGAAGTAGTCACACCAAGAATCAAAGAGTTTAGTCAGTATATAGACCTTAACTCGAGATTAGAGTATATCACTGTATACTACTGACTTAAATACTGTATAAAAAAGTCTTAGTGATCTCAAACTAAGCCTTGGCTGGATATGATTTAGAGACTAAAATCATGACAGGTTCAAAATGATTGTATTAAGTTGTTAGTGGCTAAGAGGCTCAATCATAGCTTCAGATTGCTCTCTAAAGTACACATGTATGCAAGCAAACTTAAAATATCAAGAATACCATACAAGAGTAATCTGCAAAGGTTTTTTAGCATGGTTTTTGCAGCAGAGGTAAGCACTCAAAGTTTTAACAACTGTATAGTGATCAGAAAGTTTGCTAGCTGTTATTTCTCTAAGAGCTATAGAGAACTATAACTTTAGATATATATATCAGATATAGAAAATGTCTAAAGTAAGGTACTTATAGGCAAGCAACACACTTCTGATCTCTATAATGTCTCTCTTGTACTATATAGTACTCTACTTATACTACTCATTTACTAATACTAAGTATGCTACTTTAAACAGCTTTGGTAACTGCAGTACTAAGCTTAGTAAGCATAGTAAACTATTTGTAATATGAAGCCTTCAAAGCTGTGAGAATTATACTAAGTATAGCATACTTAAAAGTTTGCATAGCCAATAGTACACTAGTCCTTTTAATATTCCTTACAAATCTCTAACCAAATATATAGTTAGTCCTCTGTAGTATACTAGCCTTTCATTTGCTAGCTGTGAATAGCTTAAGCATCTGCAGTAATCCTTGTATATGCATCACAGTAGAAAGTTCATGAGTAATGAGAACTTTATGATGAATGAGCTTGCATTGAACTTGCAACAATTGGTTTACTGAAAGCCCATTTAAAGGCTGAAGTCAAAAATTATTATTAAGGCCTGTGATTTCAGAGCATCCAGAGCCTAGAGGCTTATCACCATCACAGCACCAAGAAAACTGAATAGCAAGCATTCCACTTTTAAAATGCAAAGAACTGTCATCCTATCTATGCTTAAGAACAGAATCTCTATATGATCTGCCCAGAAACCCACACATCCCTGTGTGAATAACAATCTGCAATATGAGGCAGATGAGCATCTACTGTCTGCTCTCTAAATGTATCATGCTATAATATTTTAGTGTTATACCTGCACTCAGATGTGAATAGTTTTTGATCAGAGGCATACACATAAGTGGATGTTTAATCTGTCAGAGACAGATTGGTCAGTGGCATCAGATAGTCTTATAAAGCTATTTGGAATGGCACTGGATATGAAAGGTATGGCTGATTTGACCAAGAAAAGTGAATCCACAAGATAAGTTAGTAGTATCATGCCAATACAGATCAAACTGAGATTCAGGAGAGGAGTAATCAGGGTGCTCATAGGAGCTGCAGCAGATGCAGATGCAGATCTGAGGGTTTCAATATTTAAAGAGAAACATTCTATATAGATGAGAACTAACTTTTACAGTACAAAGCTAAGGAATAAATTTTCACTAGTCTTCAGTAAGCAGAAGCTACAGGTGTACTCAGAAGCCTTTGAGCCTAGTATTGCACAGCAGATAGCTTAGAGCTTTCTCAATTTTCTCATCCTCTTTTTATCACATTCACATCTTGTCTATCTGTTCTCACAGCCAGAGCTTATTCTGCCAGTGAGTCTGTATTCCTAACAGATTCTATTGGATCTGTTCTGAATGAGTGGATTTCTCTCTTGCATTTATAAAAGATCTTGCAGATGCAAACACATATTTCTCTATCCAGAGAGTTTGCTAGTATTATATTAGCTTACTAAGCATCAGCAGATCATGATTAGAGGTTAAAATTATGACAAGATGCAGATGACAATATAGCCAAAGATTGCTATCTTAGTTAATGAAGAGGCTATATCCTGGAGTTCTAAGAGATAAGAAATCATTTCTTTGTCCACCACTGATACACCATATACATATTCAGCTCTATAATTTGCTAATCCAGTATAATACAATAAGATACACTAGTAACTGTAAGACTAGCCACTTGAGGACTATAGCCAAAGGCTCCAAGCTAATAGTCATGCTAGTCATCAATACTAAGTCTAAAGGGGACTTTGTAAAATAACATGGCATAAGGATAAAAATTCTAAGTCAAGTTTGAACTTAGAAAAGTTCAGCACTATATCTTGGAAAATACTAAATCCAAGTTGGACTTAGAAATAGTACCTCAAATGAAGTCAATTTTATATGCCACTAAGACAAGTATATTCTAAGACAGCTAGAAGTATAATACCATAGCCAGTTGTAGAGTATTGAGTAAAGACAGCATCATCCAGAAGCAGTAGAAAGTGAGACCTAATAATCTGTGGCTAGCACTCTGAGTTTCAACTCAAATGCCTAAGTCAGAATTTCCAGATGTCAGGTGATCTAAAAGACTTAGAATTGAGAGGAATAGAGTGGATAAGATTAGTCAGTTGAGCATGATCAGGTCTGATTGATCAAGCTACTAAGAATAACTCAGGAGATTAAAACTCTGAGTAAACAGAAAGGAGTTAGATACTTGCAGGCACTGTAAGCTTAAAATAAAGCTGTGCAGTAGCCAGATAGATCTGAACAGACCTAGGAGAGTCCAGGAGCACTGTCAATCTGAAATAGTAGCCTGATTCTGCCTCAAACAGGAGAAATATTATTTTGGACACTTTATTTATAGATTCTGTACCTGTTTTTTATGTATAATAGTAGGGAAAGGGGGAAATAGCAAGCAAGTGACCCACCCTCACATTCAGGCCTTCTAGCTCACTGTAGTTAGTCTCTGGGACAACAGTTTTTGAGTTCTGCTTTGACTTAGTGATTTATTTAAGTTGCTTTGTCACTTAGAGAGGATTGGATTGGAATATTAACTGTATTTTGGGTTTTAGATTAATTTGGGTTTCAAACTATAAGGGTTTCAGCATCAAAATACAAGTTCTTCAGTTTTGAGGACCACTAGCCAGCTAAGAGTGCAGCTAGTCAAGCCTAAGTGCTTGATAGACTTAGTATTTGGGTTTCAGAGTTTATTGGGTTTCAGAATATTCTAAGTTGATTTGGAGCTCAATTGTGCATTGATTCTAAGTCCTAATTATACTTAAACATTGCAATAAACTATCCTCATGAGTATTGCATCTTTGAAAGCAAGATAGAGTTGAATAACTGTCTTTATTGACTGTTTCTTTGATTTTATTTAAGACTGCAAGAGTGCTTCTATTGTACTTGAAACAACCAACCTCAACTGTATTTGGTGATTGTATATTGAGTGATTAGGTGTTGGTGTTTTGAGAGTTCATTCCTTATTCACATCTCTTAGTCACTTAGCTGTTATCAAGCACATCACCACTGAGAGTGAATATGTGGCACTTATGCATGCATCAAAAGAAGCCTTGTGGCTATACTCTCATATTGGACAGCTATTTCTGAGTCTGATCCAGTTTGTTCCATTGTTATCTGATAATCAGTCAGCAATTTCACTTGCAAAAGACCAATAATATCATCTATGCATCAAACATATTAACATCTATTTTTATTTCATTCACTGGGTAATAGAGGATAGTAAAATCCAGTTAATCTACTGTCCAACATCAGATATGGGGCCAATATCCTCACAAAGCCTTTACCTTCTCTAAAGGTGAAGCATTTTGTAAACAAACTTGGTTTACAGTGCCATGTTTGAGAGGGAGTGTTGGAGTTTTGAGCAATGCATGATCAAATGTGTTGCTGTGACATTTGTGACAATATGCATATAGTACCATTTTTCTTTGACCTTCATCACGTTTGTATCCATTTAAAATGTTTTATCTATCATATCATTTATGTACCTATCAGTTGCTCACCCCATCTGTTGATTGACACAGTTGGAGTGAACATTACAATAATTTTCACTGTACTCATAACTTACTGTATCTTGTAGTTCACTAACATTGCATTATTAGCTTTCATCTTCCTCTATATCACACATATTTATTGATCCGGTCTCTTCCTGCTTGACTAATGAATGCTGAAATTCAACTTCCGAGCCGCCAGGCTCCTCGGTCCGGGAAGCGTCTGGGTGGAAACTCAGAATAGCATATAGCTCCCACGGACATCTGTGGGAAAAATTGGAATAAATTTCTCAACACCTTATCCTCATACATACTAAACGCGTCCCGCCCTCCCAGCCACCCCTCTTGGTTATCCACGATGCTGGTGCTCTTCGAGACTGCAATGGGCTACTGTCTCTTCAAAATGTCAAAGTCTGCGACACCAGATGACCAGAACATCTGGAAGGAGTTCGAGACACCTGAAAAGGCCAACAAGCTGTAAGTATCAGCTCTCTGTCTGTGGTTGTGCTACGCTTACCAGTACTGTAGGCTGAAGCTCAAGGCCATTCACAGATTTACAACAACGGCGACGGCGGTAGAAGACATGACGGCTCTGCAAGACGGAAAAGTCGGGCCTGGGCTTAAAAAGTTCTTGAGTGACGAAGTGGTAGGTAAAGGAAAGGGGAAAGAGTCGTTGCTCGTAGCTGAAACGCATTTGGGTACGCTGTCGTCTCTTCAGATGCACCTTTATGTGTTAACTCGCCTTGCAGCGACCACAATAAAAGACTTGCTGAGCATAAAAACCGCCGCTGGTGCATCAAATATGGATCTCTTTCGTGGCATTCGGGGGCAGCTCGCGTCATTACTGGATGGGCTGGACCCGAAGGATCTGTCGACCATGAGCCTTGGTCTCAGTCACTCGCTTTCTCGGTACGTGCCGTTTTCTAGGTATTTGTGGCATGTGTTGACTTTCCAACTTCTAGTTTTAAAATAAAATTCTCACCTGACAAGGTGGACACTATGATTGTGCAAGCAATTGCCCTTCTCGATGACCTTGACAAGGAAATCAACATATATGCTATGCGTGTCAAGGTTTGTCGTTTACTTTTCTGTAAAATTGTTACTAACCTTGGGCAGGAATGGTATGGATGGCATTTCCCTGAACTCGCCAAAATCATTGTCGACAACAATGCCTATGCAAAGGTGATCAAACATATGGGTATGCATTCAAGTCAAGTTTTTTTTTTCTTCTGAAACTGAGGGGCTATTTTCCAGGCTTCCGTACTAATGCATTATCCACCTCCTTTGCCACAATACTACCCGAAGACCTCGAGCAAGCCGTCAAAGCCGCCGCCGAAATCTCAATGGGAACCGAAATATCCGACTCCGACATTGCCCACATCCGCTCCCTCTGCGACCAGGTCATTTCCATCTCCGCCTATCGAGCACAACTCTCAGAGTACCTCCGAAATCGTATGAATGCCATCGCGCCCAACCTCACCGTTCTTGTTGGTGAGCTCGTCGGGGCCCGACTCATCTCACATGCCGGGAGCCTCATGAACCTCGCCAAACACCCAGCCAGCACGGTCCAAATCCTCGGGGCCGAAAAAGCCCTCTTTCGTGCACTCAAAACCAAGCACGATACCCCCAAGTACGGCCTGATATACCACGCGTCGCTCATCGGTCAGGCGCCTCCGAAACTAAAGGGCAAAATGGCACGTATGGTCGCCACTAAAGCTGCACTTTCAATACGCCTGGATGCCCTGGCGGACTCTGACGGGAAATCTGCGCCGGATGCGCCGTCAATAGGACTCGCGCACCGGGCCAAGCTTGAATCGCGATTGCGCGCAATGGAGTATGAGGATGGGGCTACTGGTGTGCGGCGGTTTTCCGGGAGTGGGAAGCAGCAGCAGCGCTTTGACATGTCGGGGCAGACGAAGACTTATAACACTAAGGCTGATGATGTGGATTTCGTGTCGACGCAGCGGGAGAATCCGATGGAGATCGCTGTTCAAGCTGTGTTGGATGTGAAAGAGGAGAAGAAGAAGTCAAAGGAGGAGAAACGGGCGAAGCGGAAGGCGGAGAAAGAAAAGGAGAAGGGCGGGGATGCTGATGGGGTTGTGACGATGAACGGTGTTGAAGAGGATGAGAAGAAGGACAAGAAGGACAAGAAGAGAAAGCGGAGGGAAAGCGAGGTTGTTAACGGGCATGAAGAGAAGGTCTGGATATATTGCTCCCTCCTTTTTTGTTTGTTGACACTTATTTCGACCAGGAGGAAACCGAAGAGGAAAGGAAAGCACGGAAAAAGGCTCGTAAGGCAGAAAAGGCAGCTGTGAAGGAGACAAACGTCGACTCGTCACCCAAAAAAAAGAAGAAGAAATCATCAGACTAGGCCATCTTGTTTTCGAGTAGCTATTAGAGTATATATTTAAAAGACCAACGGTATCGACGGCCCGGATGAACCCTTTTTGGGCTAGATTACTTGTTTCGGATAATTGAAATAGCAGTGCAACGAGTTTGTTCTTTTCTCCTTTTAACGTCGATGGCGTCGTCGACGACGACCGCCTTTGCGCTGCCGCCCGGCCTCCATGATGTCACCATTGGAACGTCGTTGTCTCGCCTTCTTCGCCAACGCAAGGGCGCACCTGCCAAGCGATCGAATATGCCCCTTCGTGACTTTTATTCGCTGCGATGTTCGTCGCTGTCTTGATCTGCTCTGCTCGTCGACTGACTCCAGACAGACAACTTCAAGCCGTCGTCAGTTGATACCACAAAATCCGGTACTCTCGAGGTCCGTAAGAGCCAGGGCGATAGTGCGTCCGTCACCGTGGAGCACCCCAGCACCCAGGTCAGAGTGCCACTTTACAGCTTTCTCAACCTCACTAACAAGCCACGCAGCCGGGAGAGGTCCATGTCTTCAATGGTAACGAGAATGCAGCCAAGGACTATGCCTGTGTGCTCATCTTTGACGAACAGACCGGGGTACGCCACTCATCGCCGTCGTCGATGTGCCACTCACCCTTTGCCCACAGAGATTCTCTCTCGAAAAGCTTGACTCTGTCTTGACTGTCGACTACACTGAAAAGCGAACAGGGGCACCTGTAGAAAGTGCGTATCCTTGTCCTGTCTTCATTCATTTGCTCTAACACATGGTACAGCCCGGCCGTCTGCACCTTCACGGCCGCCGTCAGCTTCTTATACCCAGGCCTCTTCCTCTCGTCCAGCAGCGAAGCCCAAGCCTACAAAGGATACCCGCCGGGATCTCAACGATGCAGACCTTGAGGAGCTAGTCGAAAACATCCCTCTCGGACCACAACACGACGAAAAGAAAGGGGAAGTGACCATTTCTCCTCCAAGACCTCCATCACCTCCCAAACAAGTCAAATCAGCTGTCCCAAGGTCGACCAAAGCAGCTCCTAAACCCAAAGCCGATCTTCCGCCGAAACAGACCAAAGCCGCGCCATCCAAACCAGCCAAACCAACTCCCAAACGGGCTATTCCCGACGTCGAGGATTTTGACCTCAGACCCGCTAAACGCTCGAAGCCGACACCAACACCAGCTCCAGTGCCAGTCATTGAACCACGACGTCTCGAACTCCCTGGGAGCTCATTTTCGTATTCCCAACCTCTTCCTGCACCACCAAAGCTCGCACTTCCTACCTCTGCACCGCCGCCGCCGCCACTACCACCACAAGACGTCGCGTCAGATTCAGAAGAAGACTGGGATGAGGTGCCTGCGCAGATCCCCGCACCGGCGGATGACGGCGGAGAGGAGATCGACATGGACATGTTCAGCATGATGCTCGAAAAGCAGCTCGACCAGTCGTTGTCAGGGGCCGTGGGACAAGAACCCGAGGAGGAAGAGGAAGAAGACGAGGAAGAGGAAGACGATTTCTTGTTCAGCGGACTGACAGATTGCGACCCTCCTTCGGGGGCGCCCATGTCGTTAAACCAGTTTGCCGGTGGGGATTTTGCCAGTCATGATGATGACGATTACTCTTCCAGCGATGATAGTGACGAAGACTAAACACTGGATTCTAGAACACAAAATATACCTGTCATTTGTTACGCATGCATACCATATCACATTATAATACCATCACTTTTTTCAATGAATCACACAATTTCCCGTAAGTACCAAGGGTAATTAGTCCAGCCTCCCACCCATAAGTACAAGATTTATGAAAAATAAAGCGGATATCTGACGTGTATATAATCAAACCCAATCGATAGAAAAGTGTCCATTAATAACAGCTCAACTTATGAAAACCCTAGAACTGTGATTTTCCCATCTGCAGACAGACCAGTCGCACTGGCACCAATAGCAGCGGTCGATGCAGCACCGGCGTTAGCGTTCCCCGCAGAAACTGTCGCCGAGGCTGCAGATGCCGCCGCACTAGAAAGAACTGCCGTCGCTTCTGCAGGAGATATTGTCGTGCTCAACACACCTGTCGCCGTCTCAGCGGACGCACTCGAGATGATCGATGAAGCCTGGTCTGGGGAGATTGTGCTCGTCGTCACCGTCACTGTTCCGTTCGTCACTGTCCCATTCGTCGACGACGACACTGACCGGACAAGCTGTCCAATCGTCTGCGGCGACGTATCCACAAACGTCATCGTTGGTCCAGCCACGAGCTGCGACGTCGCCCGGTCTCTGACGTTGTTCAGCAGGGGCTGGGAATCCGAGGTGATCCACAGAGCAACGGGTCCGTCGATACCTTGTGGGACGACACAAGCCGAGAGGGGGAGGGAGATGGAGAATGATGCTCCACCGACCATCATTTGGCAGAATAGATTCTGTTCGGAAAGGAGTTGGTCTGTGGAGAGGTAATATGTAGCTGAGAATTGACTTACGCTGGATGAACCGTTGATTGCAGCAGATTCAAAGGTCAGAAGAGTACCAGGACCAACAGAACCAGTGTTAGTGATAGTGAGTGTAGGGTTCGCTGCACGCAATCGTCAGATCACAAGACAAAGTAACAACCTCAGTCAGACGCACCGGTAACACCCAGGTCACATCCCGCATTGAAGAACGGCGACGCAATGGCCAGCACCTCTGACGGTGTGAACCCGATATCGAACGCTTGAGGGATGGCACTCCCCGTACCAGAAAGGAGGTTTAGCACAGTCTGATGCCGAGCCTCCACAGTGAGGATTGAACCGGCCGCTTGCAGGAGGACGGGATCCGACAGTAGAGGAGCCGCTCCCAGGTACGCAGCAACCCCCAGATTCTCCACCACCCGCGCGGTAGCTGCCATAGTAGCAACATCGGTAAGGACAGCATCAAAATTGAAGGTGCATGATGTGATGGGTTGTTGTCCGGCTGACTTTAACACGGACTGCATAATTCAATGTTAGCTGGTACCCAAACAACGGAGAATGCACGTACCTGAAGGACAGAAGAATGGGTGGCCTCGTCGGCCTGGATGACACTAATCAACTCCGTAGGAACGGACGCCGAAACAAAACCAGCCGCCGTAAAATCAGAGGCTTGAAACTTTGACAAAGCGGTCTGGTAGAATGATGATTCAAACTGCTCCAGAACATCAGCAAATTCTAAAGCCAAAACAAGAAAAGTGAGCTTTGTATCGAAAACATCACAAACGGACAAGACGCACGGACCACCAATACATCTGTATCTGTTCGTTTCCCATAGAATCTAGCAGGTGCAGCAAAAGCTGCAAGAGGTGTTGCCAGTGCAAGGATAGACGTCGAATAACGCATTGAGAGAAGAATCGTCTGAGTGAGTAAATAAAGCCTGCTTGAAAAAGAACGTAAAAAGACCAGGGGCACAGCCCAATGAACGAAAGGACGACTATCACAGCAAACATTTAGCTGCGCTGATAAGCCAAGAAACAGATCGCACTCACCAGGAGAAGGGGAGGAAGGAAGGGAGAGAGGAAGGTGAAAGGGGCTTTGATTTTTATATCCATCACATGGGAAATCCCGATCTACTGGGTTTCAACAGTTTCAACTACAACATGATTGGTTTCGGTGTAATCGGTCACGACGAATGTGGAAACCGTGATCTGAGGACATCATCACCATGGAGACTCTGCTCTCCCGGTCCAACCTCTGGTCAAAGCTGATTCCTCCAAGAGAAGGTCCACGAACGCTTGCTGCGAAGCGTTCTGACATGTCCCTGAAAATTACAATCCCGGACGATCGTGAATAGGAAGGAGCTGATTGAATAGCTTCCAACTTATTGAATAAGAAAAAAAAATACAACCGGATCCTTTGGAACTCAGATTCCGGAGCCCCAATCAGATCGCGCCATCCGACAAGCGTGCAACCTCGGGACGGTGTGGTCGGACATTGTAATCGCGGTGCATTATCAAAGCCAAGGCGTCGTTGTTGGTAATCAACGGGTTCGTTGTAAAAGTACATACATGGTATCTGACACTTGCCATCTCGTCCGAGCCATCATCAAAGATTTCGGTTGACTATCCAATGGCCGATCAAGGCGAGAGACTCTGCAGGCTTATCATGCGGGACGTGAACAAAAGAAGAGCAAAGTCAGTAAAAGCCTAGGAACATGGGGGATCGCACTCATCATATGGCCAGCACCTCGAACCGTCGCGAATGTGAGCAATGGTGTTTGCTTGATCTCGCCTGCCTTGCTACCCCCAACAAACCAATCATTCCATCGAGCTTCGGCGTATTCACTCTTCCTGCTCCATTCTAATTCATCAACCCATAATTTATTTGCAACCCAATTGCCTGGATTACTATTCAGTATGAATGATAACTGATACTAATGATACGTACATTGCCAATCATAGGTTCCTGCGTAAATCAATACTCGGATACCTCGGTCAAGGAGACCAGCAACATAGTACTGTGTTGGTACTGCCCATTTGTCCATATGCGCATTAAAGTTCTCGCCGACCATAGAAGAGCACGCAGGAAAGTTATATGGCGTCTCGACACCCAGTAACTCTCGAGTCTCAGGCAGATCGAGATACTTCTTGATAGCTGTATTTTCAACATAGCACAGGTCATCCCCGATGCACATCTTACAAAAAGCGGCGCGTAAGAGTATAATCCGACGCACTTCAATAATCTTTACCTTGGAAATATCATAAACGTTGCGACCTAAACTGTCGTAAGAATTCGATTTCTGGAGTTGATCGGCAGTACATACCACTGGCCCACATCCCTGTTGATAGTTCATCATCGCAAAAGTTGACTGCTGCACGGCAGTTAATGGTATCAAACTGTTCTATGCAGCCTTTAAGCATGGCCGATTGACACCGCGGTAGCTATAGGACACCCTGTTCGATAACGTGCCAGAATGACAGACAACTCGAGAAATCTTACAGCAGTTTTCATGCGAACACAGGCATTTATAGATTGAAAGGGAATATCTAGAGCAGCAGTACCACATTCGATCTCATATCTTCCTGCATATAGACTGAATTGTCTCTGTTAACGTGCTTATGATCACTGACCACAACGAAAACTTACGTTGAGATATCTGTAATACCATTTCCAATCAACACACTCTGAAGATTCAGCGTCGGACGACCTTCAGCCTTCGCTATCTGGTTCTGATCATATATCTCGCTTGCGAAGACCGGGAGATAACGACCCTATTGAGGTCACTAAGCAGGTGTGTATCAAAAGTAGAATGCACGAACCCCATACGACTCCCCTGAGAGATGAAGTGGCCTACCAGAAAACTGTTTAAAAGTCTCAAAGAAGATCGTAATGAACCCGTGTACGTTCTTAGCGGCATCCTCGGTCGTTCCTATGGTCTCGCCATAATCCGCATAGGAGAAACCTACTCCCACATTAAGTACTACTCGTCAGATGGAGGTAACTGAGGTTACCTGAGGAGGAACTTGCGGCTGATCCAGGAAAAATATGTTCACAGCTTCATTCCAGGAGTAAGGATTCCAAACTGTCCCATTGGACGAAGATCCATCCATGTCAATACTGCATGGACCTGACATAATACCTGTTGGATTTCAATGATTCTGATACTGTTAAGATGGCACCTAATTCCATGAGCAGTCCCATTGAAGACGAACACCCAGGACCTATGCAACAATCAACCTAAATTGAGTCTGCGTAGGTAAATTAAACTCGCCTCCATTTATCCACATCATAACATCGTCTTAGAAAAGAGTTAGAAATGAGGCGCAGATATGGACATGTCCATCAGACCTTCGTCCGGTTTGCCCCTGCTCTCAAAGAGATAAAAGAACATATGCTTTGCGCCTTGGTCGACGTCCAGGTATCCCGTGTATACACTACGGTTATTGAGAGATGTAGCACTGGAATAAATGAAAATTACCGTACTTAACTGTTGGATCGCAAAACGCTGTTTTTTTAACGCGCACACGATGTCTGGGGTACTTGGGATGGGATACGACAGTGAATTTGTCCGATTGTAAAGAGGAAAGCTGGACGCCTTCGTTTTCATAGGCCGTTGAGCACCCATTTAAGGGGATCTGAAGCATAGCAGATGCGTAAGAAGGCAGCAGACAGAACAAAAGGTCTGCGTATCTCATGGCTGAGAAAGAGAAGGCACTCGGATGACGGAAAATTATTCCAAATGGTCGGAGCAACGGCCCGGGGGAAATTGAATTTCCCCGCTTCTTTAAAAATATCAACGTTCAATTGCTTCGCAATTCCGAATTATTCTCTAGATTTGGTTCCGACATACGGATGGATCCAGAGAGACCATCATCCGCAGCGCTTGCTTCTTGAAACTTCAAACAAGACCGGGAGTTTTACTAAGATATGGCTCGGTAAAATTATCGGAGACCTGTAAGCTTGGAATAATCAGTAGCTCCATTATTAAAGGACAGGCTTTGGCTCTTCGAAGATGTCCCGGCATCCAGAAGCTGGTCTTCATTGTTTAAGTCAATTGGTTCATTCAGTCTTCAGACGCCACAAATGCAGTACTATATGGTCTAGTATTAGGCACTGAGAAAAGTGAGAAACATAGATGTGGCCTTTTCGGATGATGCACATACCAACCGACTTCAAACTTATCAGCTGCTGAGAATCTTTCTCACGGAGAAGATATGAGCACGATTCTCGGAATCGTCATCTTTCCGGGATGTACATAGATTACTTGAGTACCATACAAAAAGCACGGAGAGACCAAAAAACGAACCATAAATCCTCCCCCGCCGAGTCGTTCATCGATCTATAATCCGGCGATTGTATTCTATGGACCATTCGCCTGATGCAGAAAGTAAGTAGATGCAAGGATTTTAGAACAGACATCCGTAGCGCTGCAGCGGCAGAATTCTGGCACTGCAACGCTACGGCTGCAGAGCCCCATGCAAACGTCAGGGTACCTAGTGCTGTGCCATGTCAGAGCGCGAACTCTACGCTGAAGTATATGAAGTGTACAAAACACTTCGCTACCACTGACATTAATCCCCAACACCCCCCCGCCGTCCGCAGCCACTTTCATCTGCGCTTATGACGTCGAAGGGGCTACCAGTAATTGAATACATTCTGTCCCAGACAAGTCTGGGGCGAACCACTCAGATTTTAAAATTATCTTGAGGGACAGTCGAAAAGACCCACCTTGGTGCTTGTCCTGAAATATGTGGTACACGCCGTTGGTCCTCCACTCAATCGCAGATGCATGAGTCCGGGCTCTAATTCTGCCTCGGGCTTCAGAATGCATGTCAAAGGTCCAGGATTGACGGAGAAAGCATATTCCTGGAAATTTTTTGAGAGGAAAATAAGAGCCGTGTCATGGAGAAATCGAGGGCTTCTTGGATATCGAGTTCAGGTCAGTACTCGTAGCATTTATAATCGGAACGTTAAGAAGCGCAGTTTTTGTACCTACCTATGCAATTCCTGGAGCATGTGGTGAGGTGGCAACCCTTTTTGATTCCACGTTCATGAAAGATGTAGTTGGGAATTTTGGCAAGGGTGGAAATTTTGATCATTGATGGTTGATGATGATCGGGCTAAATGGAGGAATATAACGAGGATCAAACTTGAGTACGGTGATAGCTTATGAGAGAATGTTCGTGCGCAGTACTGATCTCAAGAATATTTTTTTAATGTGCTGAAAACAGAGTATGTCGAGATAGACTTCAGCTTACGATCTCATGGCCATCTTTATAGCCTCACTTTCAACCTGTATGTACCGGCGGTGTCCGGAATTACGACAGTTGTAACTTTTAACTTGGCCCGCATTTTCTTGTACAATAGTGATATCCATCGTTGTAATGAAAGGATGCTCTTGATAGGAAGCCTTTTGAAAGCATACTCTCCTGTAGCCTCACGGAGAGGAAATATTCAACCGGAGCACATTCAGGTTCTCATGTCTGCCCCATGACTCTGCTGCCCGCCTGTCCCACACTGCAGCTGCGTGGTGGGAACTGAATATAGTAGATTCCAAGTCCGAGGATGATTCTCCATCCACTCAACGCAACGTGGAAATCCAACTACCATCCTGAAACCACAGCGACGCTTGCATAGACTATTCGATAATTGATAGTGCCCGCAGCATCAATTACCTCACAGTCACCTATTATTAATCGGCGGTAAATGTAGGCGAAAGGCCTGATGTCCTTATTTTTGGCTCGGGCCCATCACCGTACTAGTTCTACTATTTTCAGTTGACTTCGCCATCTTCTCCATGCCGTGGAAATCAATTTGTTCCTTATCTCCTTCCGTTTTTATAGCTTACAGATGCCTAGAACGGATGTCATATGTCCGTATTATTAGGTAGCAAGCTACGCACTGGATAATAGTATAGTTGCCCCCGCTATCTCCAATAAGTAGATCTTTGTGGCCCACAAGTCCTATAGTTGGATGACATTTGACCGCCCTCCGAGTCCCGTCACCATGTACTTTTTTCTCTTAGACTTTCTATCAGATTTGCACAGCGCCTCATGAGTATAGTTCTCTCCCTACATGGTGCCCGTAGGCGACTCAAGCGCATGCCACGCAACATTCGGATGAGTCATGTTTTCCGTATAGCCGAAATTATGCACGAAGTGACAGTAGCTTTCCCCACGCGTTCAAGATGCTTGCGCTCCCGAACAAACAATATTACGCGCGAAGTGACAGAAATTTCTCCTTGGATTCGTTCGAGATGCTTACGGGATTCATGGACCGATCATAAAGGACAGGTCGTCCCATCAAATAGCGGAACCTTGGCATATCATATTTTCCCCCTTCTCCTCCGTTGGGGTCTTCACCGTCTATGAGGCAGCCGTACTTGCGCTGCGGATCGGGAAGGTCTCAGAGTCTTGCACGGACCCCCTCCCCCTAAAAGGGTAGGTGCACCCCGCTTCCTATATCAGTACGCCCGCTGCGTTGCTATTATCCTACCTGCTACGACATTTCCGGAGGCTTCAAATCTTAGCATGTCTACTTCGGCAAGCAGGCCATCACGTAGTGAGCATGGCCCATTACACAGTGCGTTGAGGCCACCACTTTTCAACGAGTCCCAGGGAAGGCCGGCCCAGTAAAAAGGGAAATTTTCACTGGTCAGTATTGTTTGACCCTTCGTCTGTCAACGCATGGCCTGATTCGCATGTACTTTCTGCGTATGAAGCAATAAGCAAGACTAACTAGCGGGAGCAACTTTCGGCTGCACTGGTTATGCCCCATAGGTATTAACTTGTGCGACCTCATAACGTTGTACCGGCGTCAACCACTAGACGGTAGTCAAGGACTAGTCAACCTTCATAGCCCCTCGACTAGACTTACCGCCAAAGAACGACGGGGACTCAGGCCTTGTCAAGCAACAGCCAACAGCGTGGCCTTCGGACATCTCGACATTCAAAGGGCCGTGCCAAAGAGATCAATGTCGTTGAGAACGTGACTGACACTAGGCACAAGGGTGAAAGAGTAACGTCGGTGTACGTTAAGGGATGAGGAATGGTGGTACTAAGATTATTGCAGAAGGCGAAATGTTTCCATGATGGTGATTGGCATGTCAACTGGAAGCAGACAGTGAATTTTTTTGTGCAGTCGTGATCCGTCGTGAAAGAGAAAAATCATTTTGCTGGTAAAAAAAAAATTTAGAATCCCCTATTCGCTCTGCCATGTCATCGATTTTCATCTGTTTTTGAATGCTTATCGCGTGAGGACCGGTCAACTCATGGGCATGAAACGCCGCGAGCCATGAATATATGCCAAAGCCACGGTAAGGAACATGGCAAGGAAGCGCTGGGATGAAGAGACCTGCGATGACACCAACGCCCAATAGTCACCAGAAGGCCGATCATGTACGACACGTGGCGTAGGCAACGACAAGGTCGGGGTATTGACGTGTAAGCGTATCGGCGGAACCCATAGAATAAAGTAGTCGTTGGTAGCGTCTGCCTGCGCTCTAGCCTGCGCAAAGAATTCCCCGGACAGTTCCGTATATCCGTAAGGCCCGGTGCCATTTGTGAAAATATTATCATCAGTACCGAACTAGGAACTCCGAGGAAGATCCATCAACTGTTGGAGATGGAACATAGAATGCATCTCTCCCATTGTCCTGAAAGTAAGGCTCGAGAGCGAAAATCAGAGACAGCAGGTAATCCACAGTTTCAAGAGCAGACCTGTCATATCGAGTAAGACACTTTGTTTGAGGCGGTATTCTGATTCTTTGACTAATGATATTCTCATCCTAGCCAGCGACGGTATTGAACGGATATCCATTGAGTGGGTACTAGTCGGTTAAACACCACCTATTCCACGAGCGGTACCTTTGCCATATATAGCGACGACTTTGTCCTCGATGCGAATGGGACGGAAATGCGTATTGGCTATGACGCTGCTGTGTGCTTGGAGTTGTACGAGCCGTACATTGTAGAGACGTATAACTCCACCACCGGTGTGCCCTCGTCTACGGGTTATCAGTCAGAACAAGGAGATCATGGATTCATCTACGCAGGGTGCCCCAGAAGAGAAACGAACAGGGAAAACGGTGACGGGTTCTAACGTGAAGCAGCAATTAAATTCGACGGGGCTTGAGGGCGTCTTACACGACAACTCTGTCAATCATATGATCAAGGTTCGTTGAGCAACACTATTGTTGCTGAAATACGTTGCACAGAGGTGTTAGATAGAGATTCTGCGATCATAAATCACCTCATACCTGCAAGTGCGGTCCCATTAACGTCCACAGTAGAGGGCAGAGTATCGTTGAGCTGGAGGACGTCTGCCACGCTCTCCTCTAGATCGGAGAAGAATATCAGATTGAAAGAAGAAAATAAGCCCTCCATTGTTTCTCGAGGTGTGAATAGATACGTGAACCCATTGGAAGACCTAGGAATGCCGTTGTGGAAGACATAAGCGCCACAGCCTGGAAAAAAAAAGCACCCCGTGAGCGTACATGTTCTTTGACCCATCAGGGATCTTCTCACAGTGAATCCTGATGCTCCAGCGCGGATATCTTAAAGAATCTTCAACAGGCTGACGGTCTATGGTGAGAAGCCGCACCTTAACAAAGATCCAAGGTCAATAGCGTTGGTACTAGAGGGGTCAGTGGCTGCACTAGTGGAGTAAGTGCTCCGTGTGGGTGTCGTCATATTTTGTGTGAGTGTCCTGAGTCCACTGCCGTTCGGTAGAAGCTGGGAGGCTTGCTTCAGAGAAATAGACAGTGTCGTTATTCCAAGGATAAGATATAGCGGTAGGTAGAGACCCATGTGCGGAAAATGGAGGCAAGGTCCATGTCAGGTATAAGAGTAAGTGACGGAAAATACATCCACCAAAGAAAACACCGACATTAAAAACCGTCACAAGAGCTGTAGTGTTTGAAGCATCGTTCTCTGATAAGTCGCCTTCGACTGTGATCTCCTGATATTCGACACGCTGATGCTGGGGAAAGGTAAGATTACTTTGGAGACGCGGATATATCTAGAAATAACTCACCGATACCGATGTTAATATATTGACAATACGACCGGAAATAAATGACGGCGACGCTGCGAGAATGACATTGAGTAGGAAAAAAACAATGACCAGGGACCAAGGGCGCTTGCTAAACGGGATTGTTTTAGTTACCGAACAGTTCTACAAGTCGAAAAGAAAACCTACTCGTATGTTTGACGCATCCTTCTCGCAGTGCCTGGGTACATGAACCTGGACCACAGTAGTTGAAGGGCCGGCCAAGCGCTTATTGGATCCCGCGAAGGCGGCTCCAAATCTCTCAGCCTGGTACCATCATTGATACGTGATTGGTGGATAATCGTAGCCCAAGCTGGTACAATAATGATAAGCCTATGAATGAATGACGGAACAAGGTAATGGTACGCACTCGCAGCTTCCAGGAATGGACGAGCCAATAGAAGAAGGCTAAGACCCAAGTGAAACCAACAACGCCACACCCATGCTGACAAGAAATCAGCTCTAAAAGAGTGTCCTGTTAGGCGCGATCATGACAAATACGGGGAGGAACGGGTGCGTGACTAGACAAAGAATAATGTGGATTATGATTTTGCGCCACTGTGGGACTTCAAAGTCCCTTTCTCAGGTATGAGGCTTTGGTTGCCCGCTGATGGGGGAAGTGTCTGGTGATGGTGCCTTTAATAAGACAATATCGACGAAGCCAGGAGGTGAGAAATGTTGGGCATGTAACTCTGCAGGATCAAAGGTCTCATCTTTGAACAGCATCGATTCGGATACAGCAGTGAAATCTGAGTTGTAGCTTTCAATGGATGCATAGCTCGGGCGCCTCCCATCGAACGAAGGAAGCGAATGCTTCCTTAGACTAAACTGTGAGAAGACCGGACGATCCTGGTCTGAGTAACGGAAGCGGTTGGGGACGAGAAGAGTGTCATCACTAGTTGCACCAGGGAGGTCGTTGCCGTATGTGTCGTAACGGGGAAGGTTACTAGATAAACGTCTTGGGCTTAGTGAGGCCTCTGGGAGAAGGAGGCAGCTCAAAGGTACTGAAGGAGTATATATAGCAGAATAAGAGGGAAAGAAACAAACTTAGCAACGAAAGATGAAAGAAAGAAAGGGAAGATTCCCTTTGAAGCGCGCGCCTCTCTTCCTTTATCCTCCTTACCATATTTGGGGCGTCGGAGAGTTGTTTGGACAAAGAAAAAAAGGGCTACCGGCGGTAGCTCTTCATAGCTTCAGGCGTCACAGAAGACAATTTCGCTTCTTAAGGATTCGGGTTCCGGCTTAAGCGCGAGGGCCCCAACTCGGAGCAAAACATATGGGCGTCTATAAGTACGCAAAAGTCTGCAACAGAATAAAGCATAGAGTATGGACGAACGAGGGCTACATCTCCGGCACCTTGTGCTTTTTCTTCTTTTTCTTCCGAGTGGAAACATCCCCACTATCGTCAATTGACACTGCCTTCCGTTTCCGTTTCTGCTCAATGGTGGGTTCCGTAGTCTCCGCAGGAGCAACAAATGCCTCTGCACGTTCGACGCGACGCTTTTCTGTTGCATCGACTTGCTATTAGGAGATGACATTGTTGAGCTTAGGTTTGGCGACATGTCGTGAAGGTGACAAACTTTTTGCTTTCGTTTCTCTGTTTCTCGAGCTTCCTTTTCGTGGCGTTTGAGGAAATACTCTCCAGATTCGAGTTGCAAATCGACCTAAGGCAGGAGAGTGAGGCACAGTGCGCGTATGGAAAAAAAAATTAGAGACCTTTCGAGGAAGTTGGGCCGGCGGAAATGGCGTATACGGTTTCTTAGTATTCTTTGACGATGACGCTTCGGGTAAGCCAGCGGCAGCGCGCGCTTCGTTTTGGGTCTGAATTTTTTCGTTTTTCTTCGCAGTCTTTTCTGAGGTCTTGAGATGTCTCTTCTTGAATTGAGGGAGGAAACGATCCCATGATTCTGTCGTCAGTTTTGGGTCTTTCGCTAGTTCACGACGTATCATCAGCTCCTGATGATTAGATGAGGGTCTGCATGAAATGCCATCGGGTCTGACCCACTTTAATTCGATATATTGGATGTATATTCTTCATGCAGTCAAGAACTATTCGGCGAACTTCCTTCAATGACTTGTAGGGACCCATGACGCTCACTGTGCTTCCCTGTACAAGGACGTAGCATTGCGTCAAGAGTTCGATAGCCTAATTTTGACGCGTGTCAGACATGCACCCCAAGTGGAAACGTCCTACCTTCAGTGTGCTTCCATCTGGACCTATGATCCTTTGTCTTCGCTTGACAAATCTTTCTTTATTTCTGACCAGGTTCCCTATTTTGATGATGTCGCATGCCACGTTGTCATCCAAGATTTTCACGGCTTGATTGATGGCAACCCCTCGTGCCAGGAGTTTGATAACGTCACGGGCCTTGAGAACGATATATGGGTCAAAGGTTTTCCTTGTCGTTCGAACTGACATCGATCCATGAACAAGATCCAGGGTGCATGCTATTCCCTAGCGAATATAATATCAGTACCCGGATGAATGATGTGTATGGAGCCTCGATAGGTTCCGAGCGTCAAAAAGATCCAATGCGGTGACTGTGACTCGCGATACTAGATTGAAAACTGTATTTCCAGCCGCCATTATTCTTCCGCCGGAATATAACACATTATCAATTATAATGGGGCAGAACTCTGGGTCTGCTACGAGCGGCCTTTGGAATGAATACCAGGAGCGCTCGGGGCAGACTTCCCTTCTTTCATTTAAGAACAATGCAGCACAAGCACCATGAATATCAAGGAATAATGGCGGCTGCTCGACACTTAAATCATGAAGGAGCTCGAAAGATAGCTTTGATAGATGCTCTAAGCACGATGACACAGCATTCCGGATCCGTTTTGACGGCCTGGAAATATTCTAGTCTTGACTAAGAAGTTGAAGACTCACATGAGCATCCAATGCGCGGGTGACTGCACTCCAGACTTCACGTAGATACTTTTCGCGATATTTAGGGAAAAGAGTGGCAAACGAAGATTCCTCGCTAAATGGGCCTGCTTTGTTGTCGGATGGTTGGAACGATTCTATTTTCCACTAGAGACTGTTGAGAGACATCGACAGGACAAGCACAAATGGCTTACACTGCAAAAAAAGAACGTCAGTTGGATTAGCAAGGACATGGCATGCCGTGCTCACTGATCAATATCGTCTGTATCCCACGCTATATCGGTCTGGTCAGATAAATGGTAAGCACAACAGCAGAAACGACAAACGCTTGTCTTTGCGGTGGCTCCTGTGCTTATTGACGACGACTTCGTCGTCGTCGGACATGGTGACGGACAGAAGAGGAAATGAGATCGTGAGAATTTTTTTTTAGTCTTACATTGCCCACTAACCACAACATGGATTCGCTCGATAACTTGGATCCAGAGCTTTCTGCCCTTTCCTATGATCACGACGTCGCCTATGAAGATCAGCATCCGACGCCCCCCTCAAACGACTCTGGGCGGGCAGCCCTTGCCAATCGTATCGGGACCTCAAAAGTCTATTTGCTGTCTGAATCGTCCACGGCTAGAGTCGGCAAGGTGCGCTGGTAGCATGTCCTGGAGGTCGCCCGAACGAGCCCTGATATGAGAGTATTATGATCCTTTACCTGGTAAGCGCAAACATGCCGATGAAGTCGAGGACGAGACATTAGGAGACGGGGTCAACGACGACGAGATGGACGAAGGTATGTTGGGTTTATTCCTCGCTCTTCACACTCATCATTCTGGCAACTAGACTTGACGCATCGCGGCAATGCTATATTGTTACAGGGTACACCCATCTCCCACCTTCCCACTGCTCGTCTCTTCGCCTATGCCACGCACTTTGACACACACCCGCTCGGCCTGGAATGGATCAACGATAACACTTGCGTCTTTGTCTTTGAAACCAAGGCTGGTGCGCGTACTGGCCAACGCTTTTTGCAAAAGTCTCCGGCAGAAAAGCCCGATGAAGACGACTTTGTCACCGCGAAGCCGATACCCATCGCGCTATGGCCGCCAGAGGAACGCATCAACAAGAGTCTGGGGAAGGGTGAGGGCTTGAAAGGAGTCATTAGGATGCGTTGGGCGAGGGAAGGAGATGTGAAGAAGCGCGGGGCCAAGAAAGATAGCGAGTTTTACAAGAAGCATGGGAGCCATGCAGGGAAAGAGCTATATGATGGGAGAGAGGGTCCTGGTGCGAACAAAAGAAGGAGAAGAAATCCAGAAGAGGACAAAGCACTGTTGGATCAAGACCTGGATGAGTTTCTTGCAGAAGATGAGCCAGATACTGCGGCATCGCCACCGTCCAAGATGTACTCCGACTATATCTCATCAGATGGTCGGACGCTACTTGACCGTACCGACAGCATCCGTGAATATCCAGAATCGGGTATTTTGGCGGGACGTTTAACTGAGCAGCGCTCTCAACGCTCTAGAAACGGGCGGCCTCATGATAGAGAGAGACGCAGACGACGTGGCGGACGAGGATCAGAGAGACGCAGGGGAGAAGAGCGTCCGAATAAGAGTCAGCAGCAGCTGGATGATGAACTAGACGCATTTTTGAAGGAAGGGGAGTGATCATCCTGCACGTTTTGGTTTGGCTCCTGTACTTTTATCTATGGAAAACTCCCTTCTCAGTTGCATCCCGCAGTGTGAATCAAATACTTAGCCGGTTTATCCTCAAGGTATTACTGTTTTCCCTCACTCACCACCTGTAAGCAGTATTGCCGTTCTTTCTGCTGCTCGTTGATCCAGACTGGTATGCATTCCTGGTGACTCGAGGTGTCCAATACATTTACCTGTTCCACAGTATCAAAGGTCTTTCAATGTACGATTCCATGAGCAATTTCAGCAGCGACATAAGCCACACAGAGAGATATACCAGCAAAATCGACTGGATAATCTTATACCTCTCCTTTATCCTTGCCTCGGGCTTGGTATAGATGCTTCGGGATTGCTTGCGGCATTACCTCATAGGATCAACACATCACTATCCTCAATACGGATATTTGACATCCTGCAACCATCAAGTGACAATATAGACTATAGGCTTGAAATTTGACCTTGGGAAAGAAATGTCTACCTAAACTTAAGCATCACAATGTTCCCACAATTAAACAGCCAATGAGAATATACCCTTGTCTGCGACCAATGAACCCATGAGAATAGCTGTTTGACGTTTGCCCAAGCAGGAACAAATGGATGTGCTTTGTAGATTGATTTTGACAATCAAGTCAGAAAGGAAGCGGCACATGTGAAATTTCATACTATGCAATTGACAGTTGGTATCTTTTTACATCGCTTCATAACACTTCATAATGCTTTCGAACAGGCTTGGAAGTTGGACCAAATACATGATATTAGCAATTTGATTTCATCAAACCTAATATGCACTTGAAAGATGATGTTCAAGTTTAGATCATGTCAGATACGATGGTTTGCTACATAGTATTGAAGTTGGGGAATGGTCACATGTGGTATGTCAAGCATGTCAAGAATGTGTTAATATGTCAACTTCCATTGCACAAGTCGCATCTGCTGTTCAGCATGGATGTGCGTGTGAAGTGCTGAGCCCTCTCCTGGCCTTTCTGTTGAGATAAATGCTAAGGCCCCAGCCATTCACCTGGATATCAGCAGAGAACCCTCACAAAGCATGAGAGTCATCAAACTTTGGCTACCTATTTATCTACATCTTCTGTACACCAATAGATAGGTAATAGAATCAATGTTGAAGTAAATGGAATAAAGTCTGGGAGACACACCCTTCCTTGCCTGATACTCAACAACTGAAGATCTTGAGTATATGCGACACTTGACAATCCAACACCTTCCATATCTATAAAGTGGCCCCAGTGTTGACATGTCTTCTATCGGAAATATCCGGCAGGCACCCATGACATCCATTTCTTCCTGTGCTTTGGTGAATACGCTCGGATAGAGAACCATTGCCAAGATGAAGGATGTGAGCACACAAACAGTCTATTCATAGCAGAAAATTTAGTGCCCTCGTTCTATTTAATGAATCTGAGAGAAGCTTATGGTATCTTCAGCGGCAGAATATAATGTCTCAGCCACACCTTTGATATCCTCGACATCTTTGTCTGAAATGGTACCCATGATGAGACGGTCTTTGATCAGCCTTGAAGTGAGAGAGGGCGGCGCTGTTCCCATATTCTTTAACAAATAGTCAGTGATGAAATGAAAGATAGGGGTAGTAAATGAATTTATTACTCTATTTCTTCTTGGACCTGTTTATATAGAATGGTCATCATCTGTTCTACTGCAGCTTTGACCTCCAATGCATCACATTTGAATGCCGAGAATGTGCCTCATGTGGGTATATACTTAAATAGTGTATTAGCACTATAAATTCAATTTGCAAGACGCACCACCAACCTCATCAATGGGAAGTAATCCATTGACATAGTGGCCAGCGAACCAAATTGCATCGTCATCTTCAAGGCCTTCTCAGCTATAAAACATCAACTTCAAGTGGCAAAGAAAAAGACCATAACTGATCTAGCTTGAGGATAAGGTCATCATTTGACTTCACCTCAGCACTATATCTAAGAAAGTGATGTGTGTTTGTAGCACCTAATAGAGTATGCTGTTAGCTATAACATAGACCTCACACAGCATAGCGATAAGCAGAAACATGGTGTTGTATTCACTGTACCTAATAGAGTATGCTGTTAGCTATAATGTAGACTACAGAATACCAATCAGTGACATAAATGAAGTAATATAAGTAGATACTCACCCTCACACAGCGTAGCAATAAGCAGAAATACAGTGAGGGTGCTCAACAGACCGTATTCAATATATATAGTCCATCCCAACATAAAGGGGTATCAAGCTTGGCCGGCAGGATACAATGGAGCTCCTGCTTGCTAATCCAACACTCCCCCTCAAGCAGAGCGAAGTCCAAGCTCAGTAGCAAAGTGCTTCACCTTGGCTGAAGGTAAAGGCTTGGTGAGAGCATCAGCAACCATGTCCTCAGTGGGACAGTAAACAAGATGAAAGGAACCTTCACTGATGACCCAGCGAATGAAGTGGAAGCGAATGTTGATATGCTTAGTTCGGGCATGATACTGATGATCTTTTGAGAGCGCAATAGCAGACTGATTGTCTGAGAATAAAGTTGTAGCCTCAGTAATTGGTGAGAAAACCTGAGAGAGCAGACTGCAAAGCCAGAGCGCCTCCTTTGATGCATGAGTTGCAGCCACATATTCAAACTCGGTGGTTGAAAGCAAGATGATCTTCTGCTTTTTAGACGACCACGAAACAGCTCCACCATTCAGCATGAAAGCATACCCAGTAATGGCATGCCTATTCTCTGCCATGCTCCCATCAGCATCCACATAACCATGCAAAACCTTTCCGTTTCTCTCAAACATCAGCTGGTAATCTCTCGTGCCCTTCAGGTAGCGAAAGATGTGCTTTACAGCCTTCCAATGAGCCTCTGCAGCAGCCGTTGAATATTTTGAGACTGTTGTCATGGCAAATGTGATATCAGGGCATGTCCTGAGCATAATCCAGATCAAGGAGCCAACAGGCTCCCTGTAAGAGACATCTCTCATGGCTGCAATTTCTCAGATGGAGGCTGGTGCAGGAAAGGAAGATAAATGGAGATTAATATCCATTGGTGTAGAGACTGGTTTGAGATCTTCAAAGCTATAGCGACGAACAATGGCATCAATGTACGAGCGTTGAAAAAGAGAAATGGAGTGTGACTCATGGTCACACATGATCTCGATGCTGAGAATCCAGTGCAGTTCCCCCAAATCCGTGACTTCCACATATTTTACTATATCTTCCTTTATCTCTCGCACTAGATGCAATGATAATGCTGTGATAGTGCAGTCATCAACATGGACAGCAATGATAGTCAAGTTTCAGCCCTCCTGCTTGTAAAACACGGCTTGATTAATATCGCACTGCTTGAATCCCAGCTGTACCACTAAAATCTTAACGAGATGTTGATACCAGCGACGACCACTCTGCTTCAAACCATATAGAGTCTTTATGAGACAGCAGACTTGACCAGGATGGGAGCCAGGCTCAGGATAGCCAGAAGGTTAATGCATGTAAATGATTTCTTCATTGGTGAGCTTTCCATTCAAGTATGTGCCCTTGATATCAACTTGATGGAGCTTTAGGTCGAGTGCTACAGCTATAGCAAGGATTGAACAGATAGATGCAAGCCTTATAACAGAGGCATAAGTGTCAAAGTAGTCGATGCCAGATACTTGTGAGAACTCTTGTGCTACCAAGCGAGCCTTAAACTTGACTATGCCTCCCTCAGCATCCTTTTTGATTTGAAAGACCCACTTTGAGCTCACGACATTTGCTCCAACTAGTTTTTCGACAATTTTCCAAATCTCTGCAGTCTTCAACATTACAAGCTCTTTCTGTATTGCACTTTCCCACAAAGGCTAATCAGGCTGATGCTTCGCTTCAGCTAGACTGCGTGGCTCTAAGGCTTCTACATTGGCTGTTGAAATGGCCATGGCATACTCCTCAAGGAAGTCAGCATCCTCAAGTATCATCAACCAATCTGCCTCTCCTTCTCTCTCAAACTCGAGAGGTTTGTTGTTTTCATTGGCAACTGGTAACTGAACACCAACAGGTACCACAAGATCACTTGAGTGTGCTGATATACTGCCTTTGCTAGAGATGAGGTCCAGCATCCGCTGGCTAGGCTTTCAAGTGCATCCGGAACAGGTTTCTTCAACTATGGGTTGGACTGTAGGCTGGGCTTCAGGGGTAGGTGACACCTGTGATGGCTTTGCAGTAGGTGGATTGGACTGAGTTTTTGGCATTGATGGAATCTTGTGTAGCTCAATGTCTTTCTCTTCTTCAAGATTGTTGGTGGCAATATGAGTTGTGTCAAAATAGACATTTCGCTTGATGGACACCATCTTGCTCTCTGTCCAGTAGATATGGAATCCATTGCTTGTTTCATTGAATCCAATCCACTGACCTTCACGTATGCGGCCATCCAGCTTTATAGCCTTAGTCTCAAGGTGTACCCAGCATTTCTCTCCTCATTCCCGCAACCCTTTTAGATCTGGCTTCTTCCCTGTGACAGCTTCATAAGGAGTCATTCTATTTAGAGCCTTTGTCGACGTTCTGTTGAGGACCCAGACAGCATGGTGAACAGCCTCAGCCCATAAGAAGTGAGGTAAGCTGCTCGAATGCAGCATAGCTCTGACTTTTTCAATAACTGTGTGATTATATCTTTCAGCCACCCTATTGTGCTGTGGCATATCATGCACAGTCATCTTCCTTGCTGTGCCGGCATTTTTCAGATGCAAGACAAATGCTTTGTCGAAGTATTCATCTCTACAGTCTGAATGGAGGATTTTTACAGGATGATCATGCTGAGTGTGGATGCGAGCTTCATAGGCTTTGTACGCTGTGAAAGCTTCACTCTTCTGGCATAAGAATTCAAGGTAAGCCCAATGAGTGCTGTCATCAATGAAAGAGATGAAGTAACGGCATTTATGCAAGGATTCTACAGGTGCAGGTCCCCGTAAATCAGAGTGAATTTCACCTCCAATATCGATTGCACGTTCTCCCCCTCGAGCCTTAGACACTGGCTTTCATGTAGCTTTAGCATAGACATATGACTCACAGAATCATGGTTCTCCAGATGACTTGTCAAGCTTTACTCCGGTCATGAAGCCTTTTTCAACCAGATGACGAGCAACTTCAGGTGAAATGTGGCCCATGCAGCAGTGCAATTGGTCTAAAGTAAGCACCTCTTCAGCTGTCTCAGCCAAATCTCTTTTATGACAAACTCGATATAGGCCACCATCATCTTTTGAGACAACCTCAATGACCTTTCCATCTGGTGCATGGATGGTGTATTTTCCGCCACTGAAAGTCAACTCAAAACTAAGATCATCAAGTCAGCCAACTGAAATGAGTGTATAGCCAACTTCGGGAGAGTACATGACCTCGGTGAGTTGCAGATTGCTCACATTTGCACCATTTGGCACATCAATGCTCATCACGCCCTTTCTAGCTGCAGAAAATTTTTGAGTGTTCACAACACAGAATGCCTTGGGTGGGACAGACTGGAACAAGTTGAAATCATCGTGGTAAGGGGAAATATGACGTGTACAGCCAGAGTCATAGAGTTCAGTATGAATTTGAACATCGGATGAGTTTACAGTATTGATAATAGCTGTGACTGACTCTTCAGAAGCAGATACATCCTCCAAGATCAGCATGCCAGATGTGGCATCCGATTGCTTATCAACAAAGGAGTTCACATCACTCCAATCAACATCTGAGGACAACACGCTGTTCAGCTCATCTCACGACTCATCACCAACCTCTGAAAAAAGGTCAGTACCATCATCTTCATCCCCCGAGTCCTCTGATAAGCCCTCAACTTCAGACTCATCTGACTCAAAAACTGCAGCCAGCGATGGCATGTCACTAGCATCATCAACTCCGAATGCACCACCAGCTTTCCAGTCCAAATCTGATGATTCCTCAGCCATATTGGCTATTTCACCCTTCGATCCAGAGGCCTTGCTGTCATTGTCTGATGACTTCTTCTCAAGGCATTTGTTTTGAAGTGTCCTTCTTTCTCACATCCCCAGCACAATTTCTTGCCAGGTTTCTTGCCCTTCTTATTGCCACCTGAGCTTAATGAAACAGACATGGCTTCATCTTGCTCTGAGTCCTTTCCCTTTTCAGACTGCTGACTACACTTGGCTTGCTCACACTCCAGTTGGTCATATTCCTCAGAAATGACATGGATCAGGTTCTCGGGATCAACCTCCTTGTTAGAACTAAAAAGCTTTGCTGCCGTAAGGAGAGTCGATGCATGCTTGGCAAGATAGGGAGAGATAGAGGTGAGAATCATTGAGCGGTAATCCTTCTCCTCGATGATGACACCGATGGAAGCTAATGACTCCCGTTTCATTGACAGACTGTCAAGAAACTTGCAAACATTGCCTTTGGCTGGGCAATGCGACTCTATAAACTGCTGCTGAAGGTCAGTTTGTGCATAGCCGCTCTTATCGGTAAACTCTTTTTCAATCTTTGACCAGGCTACAGCAACTGTGGGAAGATGCTGAATCTTCATAGCGACTGAGTCAGGGATCTTCGAGAGCAGGAGGTTCTTGGCTACAGCCTCATCTTTCTCCCATTCATCTAGCTCAGCCATGAGAGCTGTTGTGGGTGCAGTGAGAGAGGGTTTGGGCTTGGATCCATTGAAGTGATCCCATTTCTCTTTGGCTTGAACACCAGTGGAAAAGCGGAGGTAAAAGATGGACCAGTTGTCACCAGATGTGTTCAGTGTGGGGATGTTTGATGGTAGGTCTGTAGTCAAGGCAGCAATGACGGAAGTCATTTGAGTATGAAGAATGGGATAAAGTAATTCTCGGGGCCATATAACCTCTAAAAAAGTGATGCATGTTTGTAGCACCTAATAGAGTATGCTGTTAGCTATAACATAGACTACAGAATACCAATCAGTGACATAAACAAAGTAATATAAGTAGATACTCACCCTCACACAGTGTAGCGATAAGCAGAAACATGGTGAGGGTGCTTGACAGACTGTATTCAATATATATAGTCCATCCCGACATAAAGAGGTATCAAGCTTGGCCGGTGGGATACGACGGAGCTCCTGCTTGCTAATTCAACACCATATGCAATTTTAAGAATGCTAGCAGTGGCATAGCTGTTGATGATGTTCATTCAGGCGAGATCATAATGCGCAGACTCTATCAAAAGGCGGTACAACAGTACTTGACAGGAAGCATTTCGATCAGATAGTCTTCTCGACTTTCTGATGGAAGATACATCAGCTGGAAGCATAGAACAATTCAATTATTGACTATACTATAAGGTTGTAAAGTGATAGTTTTGTATGACGCCTCTGAAGCATTCTTACCATTCCTTTTCCTCGATATAACAAGTCACGGCGACCTGCCCGGCAGCATCAGCCAGTTGAAATGGTATTAATCTGCTACCAAATTAGTAGCCGACTACTCGCGCCAAGTCGCTAATAGTATGTACAAATTTACTGCTATTTTGAACACCGATGGAGTCAGAGCAAACGGCTCCGAAATGACTCTGGGGTCGAGTCATCTATAAGCAAAACCGCCCCCCATGCCCCCGAATTAGCCCACGAGATGCGCCTTCTTATTACTTATAATACTCATGCAATGCCTAGAGTTCTTCTTCCTCCATCCCCCTTGCCATCAACGAACAATGCCCCTGAATTAGCCTGCGAGGCTCTCATTACTTATTTCCTTGTTCTTCCTTGACAAATAATCTGTCGTTTACATAAATCGGCCGTTATTGTTTTGGGAAAACTCATTGTACTTCTGTCCCTGTCGAACCAATATGCCATCGTATCGGCCTTCGCGAATTTTGCTGTCCACGAAGAACCCGACTACCACGGACGAGGCCAGTACAATTTCATACAATTTCATTGTGGCTAACATTTTCTTCTTATACTATATAAAGTATACGGCAAGAGGTTCACTTCAGCGTCAAAAACCATGGCGTTGGGGGGCATCTTTGTCACGACGTCTGAATCTTCGAAGTCATTACTACGGTTCCCAAGCTATGAAGGCCCTTCCTGATGAACAACATTGTGAAGCGCCTCACATCCCGACGGTCTCGCCACCTCTTCGTTGAAGGTCGAGCACAAAGGTCTCATTTTAGAACAATTGCCAGTTTCGCTATGGAAGGCTCTCTGTACGGATGTCCGAATCTTCTGCATCGTCCGCTGTTAGCGTTCAGCGAGGAAGTAAAGAACATACCGAGACATGACGAGAGTCCGTGCCCCGACCTTGATATTGATGTTGCGTTGGCAACTGGTGCCATTTTTGGATGGGCGCCTCGTCCGCTCTCGTCCGTTACGCACCAGATAGGGGCTAGGAGATGATATACACATAAGATATACAAATACAAAACATTTTCTTCGTGTTTCTGAACGGCCGATACAGAATAACGACATTGAGTCCAGAGACAACATTGGTAAGCGCTTATTTAGAAAGCATCATCTGTAAAGATAGAATTATTATTAGAAGTGGCATGGGAACACCGTGTCAAACGTACCTTGACGAACTCTGTGGGACGAGAGTCAGGAATGAAAACATCGAGTAAACATGCACGTACCATCGTAGTTGATCTGGCCATCGCCGTCGACGTCCGCCTCCCGAATCATTTCATCAACTTCACTGTCGGTCAGTTTCTCACCTAGATCGCTATCAGTACAACGATGGCAACGTGGAACTCGAGAAAGCAGCGTACCCAAGTTCGTCATGACATGCCTGAGCTCAGCAGCACTGATATAACCATTCCCATCCTTATCGAATACTTTGAACGCCTCCTTGATCTCTTCCTCGCTATCGGTGTCTCTCATCTTCCTCGCCATCATCGTCAGGAACTCGGGGAAATCGATGGTGCCATTGCCATCTGCATCGACCTCGTTGATCATGTCCTGGAGCTCCGCTTCGGTAGGGTTCTGTCCAAGCGAGCGCATCACGGTGCCAAGCTCTTTGGTCGTGATCGTGCCGTCCCCATCTGGTTCCGAGGATAAGGGTGTGAGGTAAGAAGATATACAGGGCGCTCACCCTTATCGAACAGAGAGAAGGCCTCTTTGAACTCTGCAAAGAATACGGTGAGCTTGATTCAAGTTGAGAACACCTGGACATACCAGAAATTTGCTCTGCGCGCCAAGGTGCTCAAGTGAGTCGGTGCACCTTGAGAGACAAACATGACATACCTTCAGACTATCCAGTGAAATCAGTACCATGAGATAACAGCGAGAAGGAAACAGAATACTTACAAGTTGGTCCGCCATGGTGGTAAATCGAGTAGGTCAATGCGCAAAGTTACAACTATAACGGGAATCACGGCAATTGCCGTGCTCTATTGTAGTTTCCCACACCTCTTGTCCGCCTCGTATTCATGGTGATGTATGCATCTACTCCAAAATTTCTGAAGGTTAGGATTCGTACCTATAGTCTCATGTGTGACTTGAAAATATTGCGCTTTCAGGGACCTCTGGGTATAATACCTCTATGACCTCCACCACTATTAGAACTCATTTACCTACTGGCATCGGCCTCTCTCTGAAAGTTCCCCGATCATAGTCACTTTGGTTTATCTTGCTATGCTAGTGGATTGTCGCCATAAAATGTCAACCCTTTCAGAGAAACTTCGAGTGTGCATAAAATCATAACCGATCGAACTCTAAGGATCACATTTCAACTTGAACTTTTTATCTGATGTGTGTACTACGATGGGCGGCCCAAAAAATTTCTTCCTGAACCGTTTCTCCATCATCCCTTTCTTAGGACAAACTCTACGGCGCTGAATATACAATCTTCTCGGCATTCTGATGCTTATTTGCTACTCCAACGGTGGGAAGATGTTCATACTATTCACAGTCTCAATTACGAACGCAGTCGCTAAATTGGTGGATGAGCATTTCGTGCGTAAGATGCATAAACCCTTGTGAGCCTTTCCCCCATCTTCGATAAACATCTGTTCACACATCCTCCTATAGTACACTGCTGTCGGCGTATGTGTGATGCATGTTCTTTCGACTGTACATAAGTTATTTCCTTTCAACTTGTACCAGTTCCCGTAAAAATGGATACTTGAGCCATGTCCTTCGCTCTCCGCGATATTTGCGCCTTCTCTCAAGATCCGGACACTGGACACCGGTAAGAACTTGAAGTTTGACATCGAAAAATAACATGCTCGGGACTGTCTTTTGTGAATAGCACCCTTTTGATAGGCGACGACGTTGACGTGCGTTCAGCTTCATGTCGGGGGATCGGCTGTATCTTAGGGAATATAGTGGAATTGTCCCCTCGATCTTTTTAGTATCCTCGGCTATATCCCTCTAGTCATGGTTGAGGATGTTGCGAGAGAATGGGCAGCCTTCAACCCAGTGACTAACGGAGCCAGAAGGTGCAAATTCGAGATGTTCCGTATCCTTCTAGGTGATCGGGTGACTAGAGTCCCTTATCACTATACAAAGGCAGATCACTGGCAGATCCGTACAACTCGGAGCCATACGATAATGGCTATAGCGTCTAAATGTTTAGCGTTTTTATTTTATGGCGAACATGACATGACCAGCTGGTCGTTAGTAATACATATCCCATCCCACTCATGCTTCTGGCATCGCGTCGTGGTTAATTAGTCCTATGATGAAGTCTCTGGCTAGTCGGTCAGTTTGAGAAGTTCGGCGGCAATGATTAGCCAGACCCCGCAAAATTTCAGGGTTCAATGAGAATAGGGGAGAAATAAATGTGTAGGCTTTTAGGCTCCGTGACTCTATAATTAAATGATCGACCGACCTCCATCAACGTCCATCGTCGTTCCGGCACTATACCATGAGACAACGATTAGTTCAGGGCACGATCCAACGGATGCAGTAGACACGAAAGGAAGAAGGGAGAAAAGTAAAGCGGACGTTGAAGAAAAGTGCGCTAAGGGAGCAGGAAGGATAAGTATTTTGTGGGGGGAGTCGAGTTGATTTTCACCCTACTACCTGGATCTAAATGGGATACACAGTAGCCAATAGAACGTGTAGGATTGATATATGAGGAAAAACTATTTAAACTTTTCAGCGATCGAGAGTAACGTATCTTGACTGAATAGTACGGAAAATCTCGGGGGCGATGTCTAGGAGTCAAAAGAGAAAAAGCTCTCGAGGCGGTCCGCCTGAGACTTGTTTTACCCCATCTTCTCCTTCTCCATAACGGGGCATGAGGAGATAAGGAAAAGAAGTCTTTGAACTATGGCTTTAGCTTTTTGAGTTAGACCATTGTGTTGTCAGATTTCGACAGTTTATGCCATCCTTTTGATAAAGTGACTTTTGGCAGGATTAGCAAATCATAACATAATTTTTTTCCAGTGGGGGAATGGGGCAAGCGGGCAGGGCAGGGCGGTACCGACACCGACAAGGAAACTTCTGATGTGCGTGAATGAAATTGACGAATGAGGGACATTTAGGACAAAAAAAGGAAATTGGCCAGCTCGGAGCTAGAGATCAAAGCATCATTTCTTTTTGAGGGTACATGTACCGCCTGTTCCTCCAAACTCGAAACGCAGTACATAAATGGTTCCTGCATTGCGGCTCGCAATTCTATACGATGCGGCCACGAAATACGGTGTCAAAGAGTAAAAATGGTGCGGTCGATCACATCCGCGCGAATTGAAGGTCAGTCAGTAAATTGGAAATAAAGCCTGAAATACGCTGAAATGAAGATTAGATTGGAGATTGATACAGCAGTTGACTAAATGATGCAATTAATCCTTCTTCATCTTTTTTTGGACCTGTCCCGTCATCCAAATATCGCGGAAATCCCGTCCAATAATAATCCACCCTTATTTACGACCTTATTCTGTTTTTTTCCCATTCCCTCCACGATGTCTTTACCCCCCAGTCCGACCTTCACTGCCCCTTCTCCCTACTCTTCCTCTTCTTCGGTCGATACTCCTCTTGATATCGTGTCCAGCGACGAGACGCATACTGCCGTCGTTGCTTCTACTATGGCTTCCTACTCGCCCTACACTGGCACCGCCCAGCAGCTCTACGCAGGTCAGAACAACCTAGTTTACCCTGACCACGATTACTATCACTCTATGATGGCCTGGTCGCCAGCAATCACGAAGAAACAACATGCTCTGCAAGGCCCTTATCCTTCGCAGCAGCCCCCCCAAATATCCCCCCACCCACTGTCCGTCTTCATTCCCAGCAGCCACCACCACCACCAACAGCAGCAGCAGCCTCAGCCTGTCGACGAATGGCAGTCGCACCAGCAGTTCTCCCAGGCGCAATCGCACGCTCTTGGTATGCCTCACGTTGGCCATTATCCTCGCGTCAAACAGGAAGATCTTTCTTCGTATCAGACTCAGCAGAATTCTCACGGCCATATGTACGGTCTACCGACTCAGCAGCAGCAGCTTCCCCCGCACTCTACGTCGTATAACAACCTTATCAATACATACTATGCGCTCCACGAGGGCTATGTTCACCCTTCCGGGCTCTCTCCCACCGACTCGCCCATCTCGCCGCTCCGGATGGACTTCTCTCGGAGCCACGACAGCGCCTCTGACTCTCATGGTCAACAACAGCAGATGGGCGTCGCTTGTGACCCACGGTTCGTTTCTGGCGAGCCTCAACAGCCAGAAGAGCGGTCGCGTTTGACTGACGGGAATGATGCAGACGCAGAGGGTGACGATGATATCGATGCAGAGGGTGACGACGAGGAGATAGCTGATTGTGGCTCCGATGCCCACGAGGAAGATTTTGATGATGCAGACTACGACGACAACCGGGACGGTGAGTATACTCTGGGTCGCACAAGGCGCACCCCGGCTTCTCCTGCCAAACGCAACTTGCGTACACGCCCAATCTCAGAGCGGTACAGCCCCTACGCCTATCCCTCTCCTACGTATACAAACCCTCTCGGTATCAGCACCCGTCCCAGACGTACTATCTCCAATGCTACTGATTCGTCTGCGGCATCATCCGAGTCTTCTTCGTCTGCGTACCCACCGCCGCCTTTCCAGACCCCTCGACGCCGGTCTCGATCCACGACAAACCTCCCAGTTCCTGTCCCCGTCCCGAACCTGACCAAAAAGTCGCGTGGACGCCGGGTGCCTACTGTATCTTCTCTAGAGCATTCACGGCGTGGGGAGGCTGCAGAAGCTGTCAAGGGTGCGAGGATACATATGTGCAAGGTGGCAGGCTGCGGAAAGTGCTTCGCACGAGGCGAACACTTGAAGAGACATATTCGTAGCATCCATACTTATGAGAAACGTGGGTTTTTCCTCTTCTGCGACTGACCACCATTCTTATGACCTTCTTTCCAGCGCACAAGTGTCCCTACCCAGGCTGTGGCAAGGACTTTAGCCGCCACGATAATCTTGGTCAACACATGCGGGTTCATAAGGATTATCGGGGTTAATTTTAATCAGCGACTGGGTTTACCCTACAACATACCCTTCGTCACTTTTGGATTTCGGCTCTCTTGCCTACGTGCTCCCTCTTCCCGGTTTCAAGTTTGGGTATACCCGTTCGTAGTTGGTTAGTGATCTTTATTGTTTATTATTATACATTTAATATACACATCGTACGCCGCCTCTCGTTATCCTCCATCGCTCACTTAGTTTTTTCTGTAGTCTAAAAACCATACTTGGCCGTCCTTACTTACACCGGTACCGGTTTGTTATTATCATACGTAGTCTATTACCTACATACTTGTTTTTTTAGTGTATTACGGTTATCAATAAATGCCAATCAGTCAATCATCCTGTCTTACTTTGACCCTGACGCCGATCGTGCCTTGCGTTTCAATCGGCACTGAAGAGCGCAAATCAGCCACTGGTCCACGCTGGCGCACTTTAGTAGGCTTTGGCTTGGAATATGGAATACCACAAATACATATAAGGACAGGCACTAAAGTCGGGTTTTTTGTCATCTTTAGATGGACGGGTACGGAAGGTACGAAAATGCAGGATCCGGTGAAAAAAAAAAGTGAAATATAGTGTTGGACGGAGATGAGCTGTACTCGTGATCGTTAACGTTCAACTGGAGCTGGAGTAGGCTGGTGGGAGGCTGCGCAAGTTCGGAACCGTTGGTAATAATCTTAATCATGTTTCAAAACCGGTCCTTATCTTCAAACTTCCCAGTTCATATTCCACTGTCATAAGTCATTTACCCGGACGGAAGAACAGTTAAATATACCAACTCGGCTAGGCTGGCTTTAACAGAAGAAGAAGGAAGGAAGGAGAATTTGACATTACTTTCATGTTTTTATGCTCCCGTCTGCCGAATTGCAGATCCAAGCGGTGATTTCGGAAGGGTCATTGACAAGTGGACGTTGTACATGACGGAATTCTGTTTTCCGGTTTCCATATAACAGCCCGAATCAGAGGCCGAGGTGTGAAGGAGTCTGGAGCATCGAGGGTTGTAGTTTTTTTATTCACCGGGGTTGAGGGGGGAAAAATGGGCATAAAGAGGCACAAAGATGTGTGGGTGCGTCAGCCGCCAGTGCGCGCTCAGGAAAATGAAATACTGGTGGTACATGTGAGGTTTGACCTTGGAGCTTGCCAAAGTCTGAAGCTAAATCCTTTTAGACAGGCGAAGCTAAAGTTCCGGGATGCCCTGACCATTTGTGTGTTCTATACAGGTTGAGGACGGATCTCTGAGTCGTTTGGCTTAGTGCCGGATCGAATGAAAGGTAATTTGAAAGAGAGATTGTCTACGTACCTTTTTCTGCGCAACCACGGGCAGGACTGATTTTTGAACCAGAAGGCGATACTAGGGCGGCACCCTCCCAAGTTCGTGGGGTGGAGGAGGACTTGGACATTGTTTGCGATATGTTGTGCCTCCTGATTTGTCCGAAAATTGTAAATTATGGCAGATGGCTATGGAAATGCACTAACTTAATTTGCAATAAATGCCACAGACCCGGGATGGATGTGGCGTGTCGCTGGATTTCTGTTACACCAGTCCAAAGCGATGGCCTACTACCCCTTCAGTCCTAGGTTTCAAAAGTTGTTGGGGGATGGCCCCATGATGCATTTGAAACGAAGGTATGACTTTCCATGTAATGAAAGTGAGTTCCGATGTTGTGATGATGATGTCGACTAAAAATAAAATGCAGTTTTGACAAGACAGACACACTCCGCTATTGTCTGTACCAAGTATGTCTGCCGAGGGGTAGTGGGAGCCTAGGGGGAACGACATGTATATTGTTTTGTGGGTGGCTTTTGCTGGACTGCCATCCTCTTTGCAGACGTTTGGGACCAGATCCAGTACGGCGCCGTCGTTGAATCCAGGAGAGAAATCATATTCATTATGATTTTCAATGATGCTAGCTATGATGGGCCCTGTGATAATCACAGATCTAGCGTGGTATCCTAGCATTAAGAAGATGGAGGCGTTTTTACCCAGGTTCGTCTATCTGGAGCCGCGCGTCCTGAGACTTTTAGATCTGGTGGTTCAAACAATCAAGACACGATGCCATGATGCCAAGGCACTAGCTGACAGTAGCACGTCACGTCTGAGGTCAAAGGACACTGTGAAGGACAGACATCGTTTCAAACTTTAACGGTCCCGACACGATTTTTTGTTATCTTTTTTTGTCGCGTAATTACATGCCGAATCTGTAATGCGACGTGATATGTGAAAGCGAACTGTCAAGTCCAAATTGGGAAGTGAGGCGCCAAAATGGAAATTGACTATTTCTGGTACTACCGACTTCTTCCTTCACCACTTCCACTTGCACGCCAAGTTTTTTTTTTTTTTTTTTTTTTTTTTCAATTTTCCATCGCCCTAGAAGCATTACATCCTACAGAACAAATATTCTAATACCTCACATTAATTCCTATCATACGCGACTTCGGCCTCGTCTCATCATTGTTGCTGAACCTAGCGGGTTAGGTGTCTGTGGTCGGTGAAGGAGGAGACACCCGGTATCCGTTGAACGCTTCTACGCTGTTGTCGAGCTCTACGTCTTTGGCGAGCTCGAGTTCGAGCGCAACGATGGCTGCTAGGCGGACTCATCTTCAGTAAGCGCGCTAGCGTCATCCTCAACGACGGTGTCTGTAGCTATTACCTCGGCGGCTTCTTCATTGACAGAAAGTGCTGCGGTAGCTTCGACAAGCTCTTTTCCATCTGCGACTAATACAGCATCACATATTTCCTCTACCACGCCTCCTGTATTCGTAGCTCCGACTGTGTCACCATCCAGCGCAAATTATACTACTCTGTCCACTCACAGCCCGCCTTTCTACGTTGGCATCGTATTTTCAGCCATTGCAGTTATCTCTATGCTTGCAGCTCTTGTGGCATGGTATTTTCGCTTGAAGAACAATCGCAGGAAGCGTGATGAACGTCTCTTCAAAGATAATGCTTGGGCTAACAACAACGTATTGGAATACGGACAGATGGACGATAGTCTTTGGGAGCCCGGTTGCAGTTGCGTATCTTTATCAGCTTTTGCCAGTTCCTTCAATACGGACGAAACCAATCCCTGTTTTACATGACAGCGTTGCATATCCCTTGCTTCTACCTGAGTCCGGTTTCACGCAACGAGTTCTCATTCTTTTACATCGCTGCAGGTCCCAACGAGGGAATCAAGCATAGCGCCAAGTTGCCTAGCATGCCAGGTGCCCTAGCATGTTCGTCCACTACCAACTCACGGACAGAACTTGTTCCTTCCGGGTTTGGTACGCCGAGACAAGGAATGGACCGGCCGGGATTCCTGGGCCTAGGGAGCGGACGTGGACTGAGGGTGCCGTGACGCAGAGAGGACTCGGGACAAGGCGGATGGGTCAATATGGACTCGATGAAAGCGCACCACGAGGTGATGGAAAGCCACAATCAAGAACCTGTAGCTGCGGACGACGGTCCAAATGTCGGTGGATGGACTGCATCTTTGAGGACGAATAATATGAATGCTCTGGGTAGTGTCATGCCTTCCTCGTCTCCGTGGATACCGGCTTCAGATCATCGCACACCTGTGTCTCTGATGAGGAAGGAGAAGGTCGAAGAGCAACAAAAACAGAGGAAGACATTTTTCGGGGGCGAGCTGATCGGGGATCCCGATTGGGCTTCTGATGTGGAGGCAAAGTTTTTGACTCGAATGTGACATCGGTCTCGCGCACGGGTACACTGGCGGATTACAAGGGAGGGGCTAAGGACCTGTCAAGGGAGACGATGGTTGTTCAACGTCAGTCGGTGTCGAGGGCCGGGTCGGCCATTAGTGAGAGGCACCCTAACAAGGCCAAGGTGACACGTCTGGGCTCAAGTGCCAGTGGATATTCAGTGAAGAGCACGCTGACGGACGGGGAGGAGGTTGTTCGGCGTGCATTGGTGGAAAGGCGCAAGGGGATAGTACGTTAGATCCGCGAATAAATATTTGACTAAGTTAGAGAAATTTCGGGACATTCCGAGTGAGAATAACATGTGGAACAAGTTTTGAAGTAACAGCCGGAATGCACAGGTAGAGTATGGACCATTAATTTGGACCAGCAGCAGGCTGCAAAGAGCCCAGAAAGGAGGAGAAATGGAAGACATTTTGAGCAAGGTGGATAGGTTGGAAGTTTCCTTTTTTAGAAGTCAGATGTAAACTACCGGAAATTCAGAACGGCAATCGAAAGGGCGATTCGCTGTTGGTCCAGCTCCGAAAAAGGCAACTTCCAGCAAGACAACGATGATGTCGGACGGCGGCGACATTGAAATGCGCTCGTCGTCGCTGTCGCCTGCGCATCAAGACCTCCCCTCGTCGCCAGAGCCGACGGAGACAGAGACGACATTGCCGGCACCACCATCACTAGCCCCGCCAGTCGAGTCGACGTCCAAGAAACCTCGAAGCAAACACCATTCACCGACACCGCCTCCGCAGCCGCCTCCTCCACCGCTCCAGACGATTCGGCTCGATATCACGCTCGGCGGCCCAGCAGACTACGAAGTCGATATCGCAGCAATGGCATTGTGTGCAGGCCAGAGAGTCGAAACACCAGTGCCAGAAAACAAGGCGGATACGAGTGAGAGCGAACCTGAGCCTGAACCGGAAGGAGAGTTGACTTCCTTGTTCAAGAGGAAAAAGGTGCCTCATATTTATTTCATTTCACTTTCTTCACATTTGCTGAAAATATAGACACAGAGAAAGAGCTATGCACAGGAATACTACGACACTAACGATCCCTTTATTGACGACTCGGAGCTTGCAATCGACGAGCGCAAGTTTTTTGCTCAGACGAAACAGCGTGGATTTTATGTTTCTTCCGGTCAGGTTGCCTTGCTCAAGGATACTCCCAAGGAAAAGTACGCTCTCGTCGTCGTCGCCCTTGTCGTCGCTGTCACCGCCACTGACTGAACCAAATCTAGACCTCCGATGAAACCGCGTTCCAAACTGGTGCCGAACCGTGAAACCAAATCAGAGGAAGGCACGCGCGACTCTCCCATTGCTCTCTACTCCGACTCTGAGAGCGCTGCTCAGGATCCCTCACAGACAGCCCAGACGGGTCAGAAGCGGAAACGATACATCAGCGTCGTGGAGAACGGCAAGAAGCGCAAGGTCGTCGATGTCACGTCTTTCGATCCCAAGCTGCAAGAAGCCATCGATGAGCTCAAGGCTGCCATCGCTGCGGAGGACTGGACGAACAAGGGCAAGTTCCCGCCAAACATCAAGCCCATCCTCGCCAAAGTCGCCCTCAAAGCCGTCGAGCTCAACGAGTACGATGATCATTTCTTCAACCTCATGCCCACCTTGTTCCCTTACAACAAGTTCACTATGACCGTGAGTCTCGCCCTCGGGGTGGTTGTTGGCACTTGACGCTGACAGCGCACTCCTTTCTTTAGAAACTCATCAAACGAACGATATTCGCAGACCACACAGCCATGCTCGCCAAACGGCAGGAGGATCTCCTGGAAGAACTAGCCAAGCAAGCCAAGGCAGGCTTCGCCAAGGCCGAGGAGGACTGGCAGCATGCTGTAGTCGTATGGGATAGACGACAGGAGAAACAGCGGTTGGAAGCATCGTCAGAGACGCCTGGGACGCGCCCGCCAACGGAGGAACGCGACCGGGAGGGATCACCGCATCCCCCAGGCGAGGGTGGGACTACGGAAAGCACCAAAGAGCCCCAGCCTCCGCACAAAAAGTACAGGATGACGGAGAGCATGAAGAATATCGTGTGGGAGCTCGTGTTGCTGAGCAATGAGTGTTGTAGGCTCGAGAATGAGAAGAAGTCGGTGGTCTTTGCTTTCTTGATGGATCCTGAACTGACCTTTTCTTTTTGCATCACAGTCAACTGGAGGGTTCCATCATACAAGTGTCTGAGCAAGGTCTGAGAAAGGTGTTGTATCAGAAGATCGTTGCTGCCTATCCAGAGGGGTGGATGTCGAGTGGCCAGATTAGTCGGGACGTATCTGCCATGAAGAAGAGGCTCGAGCGAGAGGCTATGGAGACCGGTGATTAGCCAGCTACCCTCCTCTCTCTTTTTTTTTTGTTTTCTACTTTATAGTCGCTACTCTATCATCACTGCCTATTACTGTAGTATACACTTCCTCGCTGTCGTCTCCCTGCTTCATCCTTGGTCTGTCGTTAATCGCAGTTGGGTACATATACGTCCCAATATCTCTCTTTGTATATGCGTATGGGTTTGTTTATTCATGCTATTTAACTAAAGATGGCAGAGAAAATGGTAGGGAGTATATAATACTTAAAGACCGAGGTCGTATCTCAATGCCTCACGCGCGCACGGGCTGCAAGGAGGGGATGGATATGTGTGACTGGCGGCCCTACGGTCTTCTTGACCTTATCCTCCTCTTCTGAAGAGGATGAGATCTCAATGACGTCCGGCTTTAGGGCCTTTACTGGTCGTCGACATACATCCGCCATCGTCTTCCTACAGTGCGCGGAACCAGGGCTCGTCTTGGCTCTAGGCAAATCTGCCTGGTTTGTAGGACTGTCATCATTGCTCGATCGGTTGGATTGAGGTTCGGGGGAAGGCGTGCGTGGGGGAGGAAGAGCTTCGTCATCGGAGGAGAGATGTAGGATAAGAAGGCTGTTGTCGTCATCATTGTCGGTATCACTAAACGATGCTGGGAATGGTCGTGGCTGCCGAGGGAGATCCACTTTTCTAGAGGTAGATGGCAAGGATGCGGTAGCGGATGCCGCATTGGTTACGGACGAATTCTTTAGCGTTGTCGCTGTATTGGGCTTCTTCGACGGGAAGAACGACCAGAGAACCTGTTCGTTACTCGTCTTGTTGACCCTAGGCTTTCGTTTAGGCTTCTCATCGCCTTCTCCTCCCTTCTTCTTTCTCCCCTTTGGTGCCTTCTTCTCTCGCTTCTTTCTTAGCACCTCCTCATAGGCTTCAACCAGCTCCGGTCTTGCCTGCCGTACAAGCACCGAGGGCAACCACAGCCGAAGAGGCTCGCAAGGGTCCACAGGGACTTTTTTCTTTCCATCTTCGTCATCCTGCTCGTCGTCGCTGACTTCCCACTCTTCATCATCGGGGCGTCGGATACCCTTCACACCTGCCTCTGCCAACACCACAAGCGCCGTGGGATCGACTTCAACGCGATACTCGGGCGTTTTATCGGTCGAATGATGCTCCCTCTTCGAGTGGATTTTCTTCATCCACCCATCCTCCGGGACTGGCTGATCCCCACTGAACAGCGTGAACACCTTTTCGGGGTCATCGTCAAGGATATATCGTCGTAAGGCGCGGAGCGCGATACCCGGCCATATGAGTGTTCTGAATCGCTTGATGATCAATTCTTTGAACCCCCACTCGAAGTAGAATTCGCAAAGGCCAGCTAGGGCAGGTATCTGTGGTTCTTTGCGCGTCCAAGAGATATCCGCGTAGTAATCGGGCTTACCCTCGGAACGAGAAGTGATGGGGTGGGTATATGCGAGTAGAATATCGATGTTGGGGAATGAGTCTGGGACCGACTTGGCTAATGCACCCATCTTGCGACCTATACACCGGTGTAAGTCGGTGCGAAGTTCTTCAATAAGCTCCTTCCGCCAAATGACAAGAAATTCAGAAAGTTCAGAACGGGGGAAGGTAGTGGCTGCTTCGTACAGAGATGTAGCAAGGCCAGCACGGGCAAGGGCGTAGGCTGTCTTGATGCCACAGCTTGGGAGACCGGCTTCGCAGTAGTCGCCTCCAGAGCACAACGCAATGAGGATAAGGTCAGCACGACTAGGCTCTATATCTGTGCAGATGCGGACATGTGTTCGTTTCTCGTCGCTGGAATGAGTAGACGATGGATTGCGTACAACGGTGTGTGCGCCAAAGACAAAGGTATCAACATCGTCACTGAGAACGCCGTCGATGACACGTGTTGCATTGAGATACGCCAACTCTGCCTCTGCCTCTCCCGGTGCTGTCCGCCACTCGAAGCCAAACGCCTCAATGATAGCCTTCATACCTGTCGTCAGCTTGTTGGCCATCTTGTTGATCTTCTTTCCCCTCTTCCAATCTGGTCTTTTGGGACCATCGAAGATGAATAGTGGTAGTATGGGGTACTTGAGTAAGGTAGCGCAGCGAAAAAATAGAGTGCGTAGCTGGGGATTCTCTCCCTCTTTTCCATAGTCGGCATGGAAAAACCAGATGGACGCGTCGATGCCCAGGCGGTAACCGCGATGAGGATTGGAGAATTCTGTGAGAGATAGGGCAGCAAGGGATACTGTCTTTGACGATGAGTCGAGCAGTGGCCAGAGGCCTGCGACGCCCATGGTTGGTACCAATTAGGTTGTGGTTTGACAGACGCGATTGTGACCACGTGACAGTCGCGGCCTTTGTCAGCTACCTACGGACATGGCCCTATCCTCTATGGTGGCACCGGTCTCAGATCCGTCGAATATGGGGAGGGTAGCGCAGCTGGAGAAAAACCGGATGGATACATCGATGCCCAGGCGGTACCTTCGATAAAGGCTGCATAATTTCATGCAAACTCTCTCGACGACGAGTCCCGCGCGATGAGTATTCCACATGTACTACGTAGGGATTTTTTTTTTTTTTGGCTATTTCAATAACTACTGGTTATGTGAAGGCCGTCACCTCGACCGTTGTCTGTGTTTGTGCGCACTAGTGTCTCATGCTGATTTTCCTGTGTTCAGCACTACCTATTACGGCGATGACTTGAATCCCAATACTTAGCGATTCTGACTTGGCGACTTCTCTTCGGTGCCAATGGAGGTCGAACTATCTAAGGCACCCTACTCTTCGGTACGTTCTCTCCTTTTGAAATATAATAATCCTACTGATATCAGATCGTGATGCCAGAAATCCCGATGGAAATCATGAGGAAATACAGGATAATCTCTCCGATGACAAATCTTGCGCTCTCGTCTCCCGCTCTTTCTATTCCCAGGCCCGCCGATATCTTTTCCGACACGCCCTTATCTACACAATTGACCGGGAAGCCCTTTCTCATCTCCATAACTTGGCCCTCACGTCTCCGCATACATTCCAAGACTTCGAATCCATGCTACCATGACCCACCCTCACAAGTCCAGTTCATTCTCTCACTGAAGCGTCTCCGGATCATCTCTCGTGCCTTTCATTTCTCCTTCTGTACGGGGTTGCGTTCAAGCTTAGCCGACCTTTCCCTGATCAAAGTCCCTTTGGATGGACCACACCTCGAAACACTGCACCTTTTGGCGACACACCCAAATAGCCGGACCTCATCCTTTCCCCCCCCCCCCTCCCAAGGTTGCGGTGTATTTATCGAGTCTCAACAGGACCTCTTGCTCAATCATAACAAGGATTTACCGCTGTGTTGCGATGCGGTTCACATCGCCCGTACGATCAAGTCTCTCGACGTGCTTCAAGCCTTTGCATGTGTTCTCTCTTTTACCCAGCTCTTCTTATTCTTATATTATGCGGTAGTTCAATAGCCCACCATCTAGTCACGGACTCTAATCTTTCTCCTTTAACCCCCACAACCGTATGTGTAGCAACCGTACCGACCTCTCCGCCATGTGCTGGTTCCTCGACACGCCATCCACAAGCCTCATCAGTCGCTTGGAGATGCTCAAGCTCGCTATACTGGTGGACACGTTCGAGGATTGTGCTGAGGAAGACAATAGGTGGGACATGTTTGTGGAGCTGGGCTTTGTGCTCTCGAGATACAGCGTCTTGTTGTCTCGAGGTGTCTTGCGAATGTAACTTTTACGTCAAGGAAGAGATCAAGGCTCAGATGCTGTCTTGGACGTGGGTCGGTTTTTTCTTTTCGCATGAGGAGGATTTGTTAAAGGTAGAATTGTCTTACCATAAAGTCGAATACTTAGAAGTATAAGAGTGTGAAGTCTTTTCAGATGAAGACGAGAAGACAAGTTTTCAGAGTGACGATGCCCAGAGATGCATACAACAATCTCCTGGAGGAAGCTAAGAATATATTTGCAGATCCTATAGTGCGTCGCTTCTTCATGCCCCGTTGCGCTGAACTGCTACTCTTCGTTTTTTGAAGCACCTGAAGAGCGCCAGGCTATGGTTTCGGGCTTGCGTGAGCCCAGCCAGAGCACCGTGATGCTTTTATGACTCGTCTGAACGCGACGACATTGCCAAAAATTTCAAGTATGACTGATCAGTGATACGGTTCAGGCGCGTGGATATGCTTGTCCGAACACAAAGTGCACAGGTAAAGATCTCGCCCGAACGTCGACCACTGCGTCTATATTCACCCAAAAGCCCACGCCTACTGTCCTCCCTTTGCTTTCTCCTTGCCCAATCTTGACCCTGAAGAATTATTGGCCCAAAATCGGTAGCCGTCAAGGCGGCGCGGATTCTTTAGTGTGCCTCTCTGTGTATATTGGGATAGAGGACGTCATTAACCGCTTATCCTAGGCCTCCTTCGAAGAATAGAATCAATCCCACCAAGCTCGATCGCTGTGACTTGCACATCTGCTTCCGGGGAAAGGGGATTAAGCGTGCTGTGATCGCCTGAATCAATACCATGCTGATGGATGCTTTCGTCGTCTGTATCGGACACGCAATGGAGATCCGCGAGTCGCTTTAGGGTGTCTCTCAGCATACATTGGGGCAGACGACATCGACTACTTACCCACTCGTTCATTTGAATATCATCGAGCCTGACATCGGAAGCTGCACCTTGCTGGATCGTTTTGTTCACTGGGTTTGTTACTTCAGCTGAGAGAACAGGCGTGTTGAGATCACGTAGAGCAATTTCCTCGTCCCCATCGGTTGGGGAAGGTGGGTCCTTTGTAACATATATAGCCTGAACTACCGCACTTCGTGAAGTTGGAATTTAATCAGGTATCCATCCATTGGTGCTGAGAGCAATCAGACAGACTTACACGAAACCGATAATGGCAGCCAACATCCCCAAGAGAGTTATAAATAGAGTATTACTTGGGTAACTACCGATGGCAGCGACAGCAGAACAGCAGAAAGTCAGAAATGCCAACAGATATTGTGTTTGTCGACTGAAACTCCGGGAGGTAGTAGACATCTCGAGGGCGAAACCGTGGAAGTGACATAGGTGAGGTGTTCATGATTTTAGCATATTTACAGCTAGCACTGTAAAGGCTGTGATTGGTACGTGGTAAGACCAACAGCGGGAAGCTACAACAGCAAGAAGCCATATCCCAAGACAATACAGAATCTGGACATACAGAGAGAATAACGACGGAGAATAGGCTAGAGGCAAACGGGGAGGGAGATAGAAGAATTGATCAGTGATCGCCAAACATTGTCTGTTTGTAATGCAAAGAGTCCCAAATCCTTCGGACAATCCTTTCACATTGCAGCCGGTCAATCGACTATCATACATACTCGCTGTAGTGGAAAGTCCATTTATGCGCGAGGAGCTCGAACCCTCTGGGAGAGGGAGAGAGAACACCAGTAAAATGATAGATAGTTCGTAGTGAATACAGTGGGCTTTTTGTACTACTGAAGAATGAAACTCAGTGGCTAGGAGTGTAAGAAAACAGAATAAGGCAAGATGGGTAGCATAAAGGTAGAGATATATAGAGAGTAGAGCGGAGAGGAAAAGGAACAATAGATATAGGGTATACACAAGGAGGAGGGGAGGGAAAGGTGCATATCATGATGATGTAAGCGACGTTTCTTATTCTGTGACCAGCCGTGACAGACCCACTACAGTCGACTCTCCAATAACCCACAGTGGTTGGTGGACCCTCAGAGCTATGGGTTATGGGAGACTATGGGGTTGGAGAGAGGTCGTTGTAGATCAACTTTGAGGCCCTCATAAGGGCTTATATTTTGTTAATAGGCCTATAATATAATGTACTTGCTATTTAGAAGTGAAGTAGCTTGTAATCTGGGTGTCCTGAAGTGAATTAGCCTGATCAAGCCTTGTTTTTTGTCCAAACAAAGCCAAAATGCTTTCTAAGTTCTGAGCAAATGGATCATCCATGATCTCAATGTACTTTTGAAGAGTTCTGACAGCTTAAAGAGCCTCATAGTGCTTAGGACAAGGTTCTAACACTGAATCATCACCACTGAGTCCATTCTCATCCATGCCTTCTTCTGCATTCTGTGATGCCATCACTGCATCAAAGATATCTTTGTCTGTTGTCTCTTCCACATCCACATTCTCTATCTCTGGATTTAGCAAGGATTCAATATCAATACAGTTATGGTGTTGCAATACACCTGTGCCTTGGAGATCATCAAAGGATTCCTTCAGCTGCTTCTCCATGTCTGCAATAGAATCCTGAACAAGTGAAGTGATGAAAATTGATACTGACACAACAGGAGCAAGAGGAATATCAGGTAAGATTCCAGCTTTCTGCCAACAGTGCTTTATTGTGGAAGCATCCACTGATTTCCATGCAGCATCAGCAAGCTGCATAGCCTTGAGTTGATTGATATCATAGATTCTAGCAGGAGAGATATCACTATTATAGTGATCAATAGCCTGCTGAATGTAGCTCAATTGGTAATGGGCTTTAAAGCAGTGAATGATGCCAGCATCAAGTGGCTGGATGTGTGAGGTCATGTTAGGCTTGAAATTCTTGACAGTTATACACTGCAGATCATCTTCAGGAACAATGTGTTCTGAGAAATTGGCTTATAACAGCAAGATATTTCTTTTCTTTATCTGCAGCTCTGCATTCCATCATAATATCCATTCCTTATAGAGAGCTGTTGTCATCCAGGCTTTTGCATTATTATAGTAGTAGAAGCCCACCTGTGTGTCTGACTTCTTTTGAAAAGAACAAGATTTATGGGCTTTTCTGATGATGAAAGGCCCTTTTTTGTCAGAGCCATCAGCATTTACAGTGAATGCATATGTCAAGTGAGCTTTGCTTCTCTTAACACTGGTGATATGCATTGTATTAGGCTAGCTCTAAAATTTGGGAATTTTAAACAATATATTTGCATAAGCTGAAGTCTGTATAACTAGCCATTCAAGAGCTATAGCTGAGACTCTGAGCTGATAGACATGCTATGCTAAGAAGGCTAAGAATCAATGTGGACTTAGCCAAAACAACTTTGCACTGGATTAATAATCTTGAAGTCAAATTGGACTTAGAGGAATAACACCACTATAGTAAAATGCTAAGTCAATTTGGACTTAAAAACAGTACCATGTTCAGGCCAATTCTAAATGCCATTGGGGCTGATATACCATAGTCTAGTTCAGGATTTTATTACCATGATTAGCAGTGAAGTATATCCAGCTAGCACCCAAACCAAGAGTAAAAGCAAAGTGGAACTCATTAGCCTATGGCTAGCACACTGGGTCTGATGCAAAATACATGCAGTGAGGACTCCTTGGATATAAATGATTAGAGGGGCACATAGTTCAGGGGATAAGCCACAACCAGAGAGCTTGGCTGCCTTGGATCACTATGATCAATTGATCATGATCAACAGTGAGTCTGAAAGTAACAAGTGGAACCATGGAATGATTGATTATATAGTAGTAGTAGATATTCATGGGCTATAGAAGTGGAGCCTCAGGAGCATCCTGGATCACTTGAAAAGGATATAGGAGGCATGCTTAGATAGAGTAATGATCTAATTTTGGGGCTAGCCAAGGGAAATAAGTAACTAAACTAAATTATTTATAGATTCTGTATCAGTTAATTATGTATAGAAGCAGGAGAAGGGGAAATCATGTGACAGGTGATCCACCCCTGTGATTTAGGCATTCTAGCTCTCAGTAGTTAGTCTCTGTATCAGTGGTTTTGTATGTAACCTCAACTTGAATAGCATTTATTACTAAGTCACCTGTATTGAATAAGAGTTGAAGTCTTTATTAGACTTTGGGTTTTGACAAAATTTGGGTTCTGGCTTAATAAGGATTTTGGCATCTGAGTATCAGTTCTCTGGCTTCAAGAACCACTAGCTAGCTATAGGTGCAGCTAGCCAAGTTTCAGTGCTTGAGGGACTTGGTATTGGATTTTGGAGTTTTCTAAGTTAAGCTGGGCACTGTAGCTCCACAGTTTAAGCCTCAATTCACATACTATATTTTATTTCTACCCCTTTGTGAGTATTATATCTTAGAACATAAGCTAGCCTTGAATAAACTGTCTTTATATCTTCATATCTTCATATCTGAGTCTGCAAAGTACTTTCACTGTACTCAAACCATCTGAACTCACCTGTATTAGTGATTGTGCATTAAGTGGTTAGGTGTAGGTATTTGGGAGTTTATTCCTCATTTTCCTCTCTTAGCTGCTTAGCTGTTTTTTAGCATATCACTGGAATGCTTTTTGTTGGTAAGACCATAGTCAGGAGGCATACTGTGTTTTGTTTCAGTCAGATATTTTTGCAAAGCTAGTGTACTTGCTCATAGAACAAGCCTGTTTCATCCATGTTATAAATATCACAAAGCTTGTATTTAGCTAGAATTGCCTTGATGAGCTCCTATTCTTCATCCACATCAATAAGATCAGCAGATTCAGCTTCATTATGTTGCTTGAATTCCTTTAAATTGTTCCACTTCTTGAACTTTGACAGCCATTCAGAGCTCAAGTCTAATCTCTCATTCTCTGGTATCCTCTTCAAATTTGCAAATGCTGTCCACTTTTGGCATAAGACTTCACCATTCAGCAAGATACCATCTGCTATTACCTTTGTGACCCATAAATCCATCATCTTGATTATCTCTGAATGCTGAGTTTGACACATACACTTCACTTGATGGCCATTTATCCCACTCTTTTCATGCTCCTCTCCACTTGTCTTCTGCCTTTATCTATGCACTGACAAGCAGCTGTTTGATTTTAAGATGTAGATATTTGGCATTGAAATGCCTTGCCATCTTGGATTGATTTCTTCTATTAGCATGATATCAATCAAGAACCTTGATGTGCTGCTGCAGGATTACCAGCTTGACATACTGCTCACTAGTCACAGTAGGTGCTTCTTTTCTTTTTTTGGCTTATGCTTTTCCATTATCACTGCAATGCTCCACATGCCTTTCTGGTGCTGCATGATAAGAATCAATACATGCTATTCAACAGTTAGAGTATGGCTTACTTTTTTTCTTCAGAGATAGCTTATTAATTTTTTTGATTTGACTCTCAAGTTGGTCATATGTATGCCTCTGGCTCATATTGAAATTCTTGAATGCAGCTCCAAAACCTGATGCCAACTTGAGCTTTTCAATGATGATATCCTTATCAATAAAATTCTCTGCTTTATCCAACTATGCTTCTTCTTCTGCTGAGACTGATCTCTTGTTATTGAGTCTAGCAAGAATACTTGCTTGTTTTGCCTCAGTATCACCTTTGCAGGTTTGGAGGGCTTTTTTCAATTCATAAATATGTTATGTGCATGCTATCAGCCTCCATGTCATCTTGATCAATGATGAATTCAATCACAAGCCTCATCAGACTCTGCCACTTTCTATTACCTACTAATTTTATTTTACCATTATTATTTCATATCTGTATTTTACATTCTAGTATCTAGACTCCAAACATAGTAATAAACAACTGACACTAGAATCCAATGGACTCTGACTCAGAATTAACTACTAATAATATATAAACCATATATAAGTATTGTAATTACTCAGTTCAAATATCAACTTGGATAGCCATCTACACTTTGTGCCCACTTTAGCTCCTCTCTATCTTGTCCATTGAATTCTGCTCCAAAGAATATTTCTCTTCACTTCTCTGATAAAACTCCATTTTGTTAATCCAAATTCTTGGGCCTCAACTCAAAAGTGATGTTGTCAATAGCTTCATTGACATTTATGCACTCTATCAGTCTCTGCACATGCACTTAAGCCCAATCAATTGGCATGTTTCTAACAGTATATTTGAACTCAAACCTTTGAGTCAAAAAAGAAATTTTTTATTATGTCCACTATATTCATCTAATCTACAGAAGCTGACTCCAAACAAACTCAACCCAGCTACTCTAACATGTTCTCTATGGAAGACATTCTGGTCTCTGTCTCAAAAGAACAACCAGGGCTCTTCAGATCAGCCTCCAGTGGAGGACAACCCTCCCATAGAAAAACCTACATCCACTCTAGCTTCACTGCTCACCAATCAAATTATGATAATTCCCCTAACTCTTTTGATGCCACCAGCATCCCAACTAATAGAGCCTGATGAGCCAGCATGATGTACAGCATATAAAGTGACTCTTTAATAGACTTCTTATCTCTAGGCAATATGTATGGAAACTCAGATAGCCTAGACTCAGAGAGCAGAGGTGAAGACATCTCTACTCATACTCCCATCTGATGGGAACCAGGTAGTAATCCACTAAACCCCTTTCTAGGAGGGCCAGATGGTCTAGATGGTTCAGAATGTCCAGAATATCTCAATAGCCCTAGCAGCCCTAACAGCATCATAGGAAGTAACAATCCAAACCAGCAGGACATATTCTTAAAATTTATAAACCTGTTACAAGAAGTCTCAGCTTCTCTCAATAATCAAAAGCTAGCCACTATCCACAATAAAGTCAAAGAACTGGAACCCTTTTATGGCTTTGACTCTTGCAAACTGAAGGCCTTTATCATCTCCCTTCAGTTGAACTTCAATGACAGATCTACTATATTCACAATGAATGCTAGCAAAGTCAATTATACTATCTCCTTTCTGGCAAGCACTGCACTCAACTGGTTTAAACCAGACATTCTTAATCTCAATCTACCAGCCTGGCAATTTTCTTATGCAGCCTTCTTAGATGAGCTTCATAGCAACTTCAGCCTCTTTGATGCCATCAGAGATGCCAAAGATGCATTAGAGCATCTTTGGATGTGTGACAGAGACTAGATCATAAAGTATATGGTCCAATTTAATCAGTATGCCTCACAAATCAAATACAGAGATAATTTCCTCTACTATGCCTTTTACTGTGGTCTCTGCACTCATATCAAGGATGATATAGCTCACTATGAGAAGCCAAACAATCTCTATAATATATGCTTTCTTGTTCAAGAACTTGATGCTTGCTATTGGATCCAAAAGACTGAAATTGCCTATGAAAACTAGGACAATAAGGTCTCCAACTAATTTTCCAACCTCAAATCTAAGAGATCCAACTCTTCTTCCTCAGACTCCAGCTTCACACCAAAATCTACCACTTCTAAACCCTATGTTGATAAGCTAAGCAAAGATAGCTGTCTTACTCAGGAAGAAAAAGACCACCAGTATCAGAACAATCTTTGCATATTCTATGGAGCCAAGCACAAGACTAAGGATTGCAACAAATGAAAGGCTGCAACCTCTGCCAAGGGTCATGCAGCAGAAGTAGACACTGCCTCTGAGGAACTGGCTCCAACAGAGTCAGAAAACTAGAAAGCAACTCTGTTTCCTCCATATGAGTTCAGGGTTGCATTGACTCTATTTGCACACTGGAGGTCATTATTTTCAATGCAACATCTCTCTCCAACTATTCCTTCCATCTTCCACTTTCAGCAGAATTACTATCTAATACAGAATCCAACATGTCTCTAATTTTTACCATTTTGCACTTTCTTGCTCTTATTAATTTTGGTTCTAGCTACTGCTTTGTTGACACTAAGTATGTAGCTGCCAATGATATTTCTATTAAAACTATTCCTAATGTGCAACTTTGATTATTCAATGGCTCTATCAGAAACTGCATATCTCAAATCACAACTATCCCTATTCATTTTTCTTCTAGAGACATCTTTTCCATCAACTTCTATGTCACTCATCTGGATTCATCTTGCCATCTTGTTCTAGAATACAACTAGCTCTTCTACTACAATCCACTGATTGACTGGGCTGAAAACAGTATCACTTTCTGCTCAAGCTACCAGGATCTCACTCTGACCAATTCTGCAGCCTTCACCACATCCCCAGGACTTCTATGCTCATAAGACAACAGTCTAACCCTTTCTAAGCCTTTCAGCTCAATTTCAGGACTTCCATGCTTACTGGACTCCAACAGTCTAATATTTAGAGCTTCATCTCATTCTAAACCTTCTCTAGGTAACCAATAGGCTCTGTTTCTGTACAAACTCATCTATTCCTATCCTTACTCAGAGTCTTTTACTATAAAAGCACACTCAAAGATCTCCATCATATCTGCTGCTGCATTTGTCTGAGCCAGTGCAGAAGAAGGTATTCAGCAGTTTATACTGCAGCATTTCTTGTCTAATATTAGAGCCAAAGCCACATCCATAGAATTAGTAGATTTTTTATCAGTGCTAGTAAAATACCACAATTTTGCAGACATCTTCAGCAATACTCTCTCTAAAAAGCTACTCAAACACAGGCTATATGACCTCAAAATCAACCTTGAGGAAGAAACATCTCCACTGCTTGGACCTATTTATTCTCTCTTAGAATCTGAACTCAAGATCCTATAAGAGTTTATTAATAATAATCTGCACAATGGGTTTATTACTCTGTTCTGCTCTCCACATGGGGCTTCAATCCTGTTTGTCAAGAAGACCAGTGAATTCTGACTTTGTGTTAACTACCACAGCCTAAACAAAATCTCCAAAAAAGATCACTACTCTCTTTCTCTTATTTCTAATTTTCTTGACTCTGTTCACTTTGTGCACATCTACACCAAGCTTGACCTTCAACATGCCTGCTATCTTGTCCATATAGTAAAGAGTGATGAATGAAAAACAGTCTTTCAGACTTGCTATAGCTTTTTCAAATGGCATGTTATGTCTTTTGGTCTCACAAATGCTCTGGTGGTGTTTCAATGTTTTGTGAACAATATATTCTCTGACATGCTTAACATATTAGTAGTAGTCTACTTTGATGACATCCTCATATATTCCAATAATCTGAAAGATCATCAGAAATATATTTATGAAGTCCTATACAGGCTTAGAGCTAATAGGCTCTACTGCAAAGACTCTAAATGTGAATTTAACTGGGACTCTGTGAAATACCTAGACTACATCCTATTACTTGAAAGACTTCACATATCAGAAAAAAAAGTCAAGGCTATTATTGATTGGCCAATACTATGAAAAGTCAAGGACATCCAATCTTTTCTTGGCTTTGCTAATTTCTACTGCTACTTTATACATAAATGTAGCAATATCATTATTCTCTTTATATGACTCACCTGCAAAGAAATTCCATGGAAATTTGATGACAAATGCTTGGCTGCTCTCAACAAGTTGAAACAGCCCTTTATACATGTCTCCATCCTTATCCACTGAGTCTCTGATTATATAATTATAGCTATCCTCTCCATTTATTTTGAAGATGGTGAAATTCACCTCATTGCTTTCTGCTCCTGAAGTCTTCACAATGCTGAACTCAACTACAATACTCATGACAAAAAGCTTTTGGCTATTTTTAAAGCTTTTAAATATTGATGCCACTATCTTAAAGGCTTTGTGGACTTTATTAATATCATATCAGACTATAAGAACCTTAAATACTTTGCAACTACTAAGATTCTGACCTGCTAACAGGTTCACTAGTTTGAATACCTATCTTAGTTCAATCTAGTAATCTGGTTCTGTCTGGGGAAACTTAGTGGAAAACTGAATGCACTCACTAGACAATGAGATGTCTATCCTAAAAAGGAGGATAGCTAATACACTCAAGTCAATCCCTATAATTTTCAATCTGTTTTCATCCAAGAATAACATTCTGCATCACTTTATGCAATCTATCTTGAAGATCCTACCC